TTGGAGACCTCCGTGTCTCATCCTTATCACTTACTTTGAGAGATCTGCGAATCTCAAAGGTTTTTTGTTTTTTTTGTTGTTACACTGTTTCTCTATACTCTGAATGTAGCGCTGCATTTTATTGTTTCCTTGATATGTGAAAACCTTCAATAAAAGGCTAATTACCAAAAAAAATAAAAAAACATGTTTCACAGACGAATTGAGGGAGTTAGGTAGTAGAGTGATTGGAATGATTGTACAGCCCAAAATGAAAATATAGGACAAACCTAACTAAGAAAAATAAAAAAAAGGAAAATTATAGTAGGCAAATTTAGAATGTTATGTTGTACATGTTAACAGAACTAACTCCAAAGAAACAGACAATACAGAAGGCAAGAAATGTAATAAAATGCAGATGTTCAAGATACGAGAATATCACAAAATGAGTAAAGATGTTGGAGAAATCAGAATTGTAAGATACATGCCAACATGGTATCAGATACACAATAGCAAGAAATTAACTAAAGTTATTCTGAAACCCAAAAAGGGCTAAGTGACGCCAGTTGTTCTAGGCATTTTTTTAGGCCAGAATAATATATCAATTAGGTGTTGATACTAAAAATAAATAACAACCTGGCCAGCAGAGGGCAGCATGATACATGCATAAGGTGGATGTAGAAGATGGTAAAGGAGCCACCAGGACTTGCCAAAGCCATGGGCTTGAAGAATGGGGTAAGTGGATTTTACAAGTATCACTATGATTAGGTGGGATGTTACTCACAACTGGACAGTCAATTTAAGTATTTATACATTTTATTAACGATGTGCTATGTAAGCAGAAAAAAGAAAAATCAGGGGGGCTTGGGGGAGGCGGGGGAAATGGAAGAGGGGATATGTTTGTATGTTATGTTAAAGGGTTACTCCAACCAAAATGAACACTTCAGCTTTTTGAACTTTTAGGAACCTGTATTTGCAATGTTTCTACTTTAAAGGAACACTATAGGGTCAGGGAGACACACCTGTATTCCTGACACTATAGTGTTAAAACCACCATCTAGCCCCCTCTGCACCTCCTAAATATAGTAAAATCTTAATTTTATTCCAGTCTGCTGCTCCTGGCTCTACCCCTGTCTGCCTCTGACCTGCTGACATCATCAGAGCCAATCACAATGCTTCCCCATAGGCAGGGCCGGCGCCACCGTTAGGCGAACTAGGCTTTCACCTAGGGCACCGGCCTGCTGGGGGTGCCCACTGTGATATTTCCTGGTGGGCTCCCTGTCTTGGGCCGCAGCGCTGTGCGAGCGGCTCTTGAGCCGTCCTCCCTCAACGCCAAGCCGCTCCTCCAGGCGACCGAAGGTGGTGGCGCTCAGAAGAGTGAGTGTATGTCTGTCAGATAGTCCAAATCCGTGTCCTTGTAATAACATTCTAAAGGTTAAGTCTCTCAGGTGGTTGTGAATGTCTGCCACTATGAATGAAGACTGGTCCAGGTGGTTCAAATAGTCTTTTAGCCCTCTCTGAGGTTACTGAACTCTACCCACAACTTACTAGCATGCTTTGAACTTGACTGCTGTCAGGTCCTGCTTGCTTAGGGCTGTCATTAGTACTAGTCCGTGGTATCACTTCTGTACACTCTTTACTGCCGACATGTGAGTGTGTCCTTGTAATACCAGGTGTGTCTGGCTTGTCAACTGGATATTGTGACTCTGGCTTCTCGGCCACTTGCAGATCCACACGATTGAGTTGGTTGAGAGTTCCTTCGATATCCACAAGATAAGAGAGTGGTGCAACCTTTTGCAGACAGGTTCCCATTCTCCAGCGACCTGTTCGATCTCTATGAAGCAGTTTCATACGGATTTGTTCCCCAATATTCAGTTCAGGTAAATCCATAGCAGATGAGTCATATCTGCCTTGAACACTTGCCTCCTAAGTCGTAACTTTTACAGTAAAGTGCCCCTTATCCAGATAGAACTTAAGCTTTAGTGTCACCAGGTTGTGGCATGTCTACAATGGCTCTAATCTTATCTGGGTCAGCTTTCAAGTCATGTTGAGACAGGATATTTCCATGGAAGCGGACTTCTTGTACCTGAGTCTTAGCATTACTTGCCTGCAGCGATCCAATAATTCTACTAGCTTCTCAACGTGGTCATGCTCAGCTTCCTCATCTGTATTACCACAGCCAATTATAAGAATGTCATCTGCTTTTGATTCAATTCCGTGGAGCCCACTTAACACTTAACAGTTCATGCTGCTTTCACTGATATACTTCTGGGGCTACAGATACTGCAAATGGCGGCTTAAACCAACTCTTTCGGCCACAGGGAGTACAGAAGGTGGTCATGTAGCTACTCTTTTCATCCTGTTCGCACTGTAGAAAGGCATCTCTTGCATTATCAAGTCTAAAAACCTGTGCTTTGGGCAGTTTGTGCAAAATATCCTCAAGTGTTGGCATTATGTAGTGTGACCTTCTCATGGCCATGTTAAGAAATTTCAGATAAGTGCAAATTCTAACCTTTTCAGGCTTCCTAATTACTAACATGTTGCTTCTCCAATCAGTTGGCTCTGATACTGATGTAAGTTGTCCATCAGCAATATACTTATCCAGTTGCGCTTTTACTTGTGGCTTAATGGCTACTTGCACATTGCATGGGACACATTGTACTGGTGGAATGGTAGTATCCAGTTCAAAATAAACCACTCGTAGCACAGATACTACTGGGCGAATAAACACATCATTATAGACTTTGAGGATTTGCGGTTTTGTCAGTGGTCAGAAGTGCCCCTGCCCCCAACAGGAAACAAACGCAATAGAAAATAAACCATAGCGTTGGTTGCATGTAAACCAAACATCCATAACAGACAGTGTTTACAACAAAAGGCCTGAATGGACTGACTATACTCACCAGAACAAATGCAATAAGGTGTAGTTGTTCTGGTGACTATAGTGTCCCTTTAAATTCTGCACATACTGAGTATTGTGGACTTTTGTGCCGGGGCTAGTTACAACCCCATCACACATGACTTAGGCAGCCCAAAACTCGGCTGACTAATGTAAATTCTGCGCAAAAACATGACATGTTCTTAGTACGCACTGATTTATTGTCCCTTGGTGTGCTTCTTCCCAGCCTTCCCCGCTTTCCCTCCACCCTGCGTAGTCTATATTAGGCAATTTTTTTCATATTTAAAGGCTTGCCTTTGTCCACTCCCCTACACCCTTCCTGTCCCAGAGCATGTGATTTGAGCCTAAAAGAAGGGTCAAATCACATGCTTCTCTATAATAGGCATTTGATTGAAACTCGGAGTGACGCAGGTGCTGACAGACGGAGCTTGGAAACAAGTTAGGAGATGTTCGCCCGGCAATGGATACAATGTAAAACATTTTTTGTATTTTGTATTTTTTTTCCTTAATGAATGGGATGAACAAGGGTAATAAAGTAAAATAACCATATACGGAAAAGGGTTATAGTAACCCTTTAAAGCCTAATATTAAGGAAGTGCTTTATGATGACAAGGAAGCCTTATACTTTTTACATTTGAGTTAGAGATGAGATGAGCAATGCATCAATTGCAGAAGTACTCTACAACCTCCCCATCAGCTTTATTGGTGAGATGGATTTATTTTTACTGCAAATGGAAAAAGGTTGACATAGTCAATTTCTAATCATGGGAGATATGAATTACCCAGGAATTGATTGGCATATTGGGAAAAGTACATCAGCAAGGGAAGCACATTGCTAAACCTGTTAAAGAAAAACTGTCAAGACTTTAAAAACAAAACAAAAACATATATATATATTTTTTACATTATATATTAATATTGTGCTCTGTGACCTCCCCTTACCACTGCCTGCATCACCATATTAAGTGATGCTGGTTTGAAATCTTTCTCAAGATCACTAGAAGGCCTTCAGTGTGTTCACCGATGCCACCTGTCATCTCTCCCTGGGCTGAGAATTGTTTGAGCAGCTTCAACACAATTCATCCCTTCTGCTGTGTGCTGAGCCTGCTGTTCTGGTGGCTGGTCAGCTTTACTGCGCTCATTGCAAAGATCGGGACTTGATCCCTCTCTTACACAGCTCTGGATACATTTATTAGATAATAGGTATATAAAATGGATTATTAAAATATTCACTGAATTAATAATTACTAATAATTTCTGCTTCATCTAAAAAATGTAATAAGTGATTATTTAAAAAAAAATAAAAAAAAATGGGAAACCTGGACCCCCTAATAGCCAAGTGGGATCCTTCAATCAGCTCCTTCTATTCCCTCACACAGTGACTAACACTGCCAGGACATATATCCCAGTATTGGGAGTTATGGAATCTGGACCAGTCGGAGGATGTCCCAGGGGGCAATGACAGTGATGAAACTTACATTGCTCTGGGCACCCATAGCATACTTGAAAAGTAATAGGGCGGTTATGTGAACGGGCATGTCAGCCTGGAGTCAAAAATGCCAAGCTGGCCTCTTGGCCAGCCCCCAACATACAGGACCATCCAGAGAGTGATGCTGAAGTACCCTCTACTTAGTCCTAGTGCCCACTCCACAGCAAAAGCACATCTAAACCAGGGGCTGTCCAGCTAAAGGGAAACAGTTGGGTGGTATGAGTAAACAATTGTATATCTGGGTTTTTATAACCAAACTCATAGCAGGATCTGCAGCTTATTTCGGGCTCCTAACCAACCATACATTTACATGTCATAACTGATTGCCAAGTGGAACATGGCCTAGTTTCTGGTGGTGAATGAGCATCATGGGAAATGTAGTGTACAAGATGTGTAATGCCTTGTATAGAAACAATAGAAGAATTGAAATGTTCGTTTACACAGTTTTTCTTGTTGCTTGGGTGTATGCAAAACGAATGTTTAGTACCCGAGATAATTTGAATAGCCAATAAATTGTGTAAATTTACATTCACATAAGCCAGGATTAAACATTGTGCTAAGTAAGAAAAAAGGAATAGGGCTCTATGTCGTTGCGTTTAAATGTTGATAATGGATGTGCGTTTAAGTATGACAGGGATGAAGAGTTTTGTAATAATTCCCCTTCTTTTAATGCAAAGCTCAGCCAGTGCTGTGATGAGTTTTGGAAGTCAAAATGCATCATCTGAATTTGTTCTCCGAGGTGATTACACAGTCGGAGGATTGTTCAGTCTACATGCCTCTGGGGCAAGTGTGATAGAGAGCTGTTCCAGGTGAGATACAAATTGGTTAAATATTGATAATGTAATGCAAGAACTCAACATGTAGTGCAAGGACTCAAAGATTTGTAACTGTGAGGATTGTGCTTTGCTAACTATAGTCTTCGTTATGGGGTGGGTTTAGGGGCTAAAGCCATAGATGTTGATAGTAAACTAGTACTTTTATCATTTTATACTAGGTAGTAGCTAATTAAAAAGCACTGCATATCATCATAACATTCCTTCTGGAGACATAACTGGAGTAATGAGTAGTAGGGCTTAGGGGAGATAGGGAGCAAGACAAATGGGGGCTTACAGAAATGTGGAGAGGTACACAAGGGATTTTATATGAGATAGAGATATAAACAATCGTGGGTGAAGGGAGAAAGAGCAATAAAATGACAGTATTGTAGTGTGAGATATAGGACTGTGGGTGTAAAATGATGTCATTGGGAAATGATCTTGAATTCAGCCTTGGGAAAGGAGTTATTGCATTATAACATGGACTAAATGCTTAGGAGGTTTTAGAACTTAGCAACAACCCTGTCAACAGACTCCTGACTTAAATCATATCAGTTATAGTTATATTGTGTAGATTATATCACCACACTATTAACCACATGTACGTGTATGTAACCTATGGAATGCATCATTGTTAGATCCATGTGCCCCTTCAAATCTCTTACAATGTATCATGGAGCCAACCAACTAAATCCCAAAAAGGAAGCTAATGTTCAAGTGTATAGCGTACGTGCTTATTGTTGTATGACCATTATGAGACTTCTGGGTTGATTGTCAGCAAAACATATACTATCAAAATCCAAAATAAAGTCCATTAGTGGGGCAAATGTAAAGAGTCAAATTAAAAGAGGTAGGTAACTATTTATGAAAAGAAATAATACAAAATAAAGAAGTACAGAAGCTAGTATTATAGGAATCAAAAGACATTTGTCTTTGTAAATGTTCATGTTATAGATTCTTGACCAAATATTGTGTGTTGATCAAAAGTTGAGTCTTTCTTCGGAACACTCTAGTAGAAAGCATTAGACAGTATTTGAGTGAGGTGTCATGTGACACAATGAAGTATTATTGGTTATACAATAGTTGACCCTCTGTGGGCTAAAATGGTTATATACCTCAATTGTAGCTGTGGGTGGTCTGTCCAGCTGGTAATCTGAGCATTGTCAGCTATCCACAAGAGAAAAGTAAAAATAGTCAAGTTAGAGGGAAGATGGAGAATAGATCACGTAAGATGTCCTGGGGGGATAGAGGTGGGCAATAAGAATGCTGGACCAAGAATATTCTACAACAAAAAACACTTGCCTACCTATTCCATTCCATGCCAGGGAGATTACTAAATCCGAGGAATAAAGCAGTTGCCAGGGGTTCCATCAAAGAACAAATCATGTACATCTCAACTCTTTTTGATAATTATATAATTGTGAGATGGAGTAGGGAGGAAAACGTGTCCTATTTGAAATGGCAATTTTTTTTCCTATACTGCCAGTTAAGTTACCATATGTCAAATATGCCAATACAAATTAATTTCCATATATTTCTTTGTCTCTCTAGTTTGAATGCCAATCCTGCCGGCTACCTTAACCTTCAGGTCATGAGATTTGCAGTTGAAGAGATAAATAATAGCAGCAAACTTCTACCGAATATAACGCTGGGGTATGAGATTTTGGACACTTGCTACATTTACAACAACATTCAACCAGCTCTGGCTTTCATGTCGAAGGATTATGTTTTTGATACAGAGGCCAGTTACACTAACTACATTCCGAAAGTTATATCCGTGATTGGTCCTGATAACAGTGATTCGGCTGAGACCACAGCTGACCTTTTTAACCTTCTGCTGATACCACAGGCAAGTAATACGGTTACTTCAGTAGGCAAAACTTCCCTGTTAAATAGCAAAATGTATTTTCAAAATCTTTTCAATCTTGCTTTGGTTTCACATATAATATACATATAGTATTTGTAAGTTATTGATGAGGTGCTACTGACACAGTGTAATTATGTGGATAGTGTATGGATGTATCTCAGAGATTCTCAGCAATAAAACTCACAGTAATATAACGAGTATGAATGTATCACAAAGCTCAACTGTGTATGGCTCAGTGGGATGTTTGTAGTGTGTGTATTTTGTATGAGAGTTGTGATTGTGTGGGACGTTTGGCTGAATGTGATGCATATGAGCGTACTGGTGGTTGGTTGAATGTGATGTGTCTGGGCTAAACTGAGTGTGACTGTGTATGTATCCTGCGTATGAGGAGGCTAAGTGTGATACATGTGTGTTGCGGAGAAGGATTACAATCCCATGGGACCTTTGCAGGTTTCTAGCATGCCCCCTCCTCTTTTTTTCACATATGGTTAATGGAGATGGTTAATGGAGCCCAAGTAAATTTGTGGTGCCGGGGCCTCTCTCTATCCCCTAACCCTTAACTGCCTGTCTATAGTTGCCTTATGGTTAATCCTGCTCTGGTGTATTGTGATAGGTGTGGACAGGCTTGTGATTTCAGCCTTTACACGCATTTTATTATTTAAACTAATTATTAAATAGATGCAAAAAACAAACACACACAAAAAAAGTGTTTTTGTTGTTGTTTTTTTTAAACATCCATCCGGATTACTTCTTTGCAGGGAGGGGTATGATCCCGTATTTTCTAGTGAGGACATCATCCTAGTATGGTTCTGGGGGTGCTTCTGGTCCTGGAAAGTGACACTGTTCAGGGGAAGACTAAGTGAGATATTGTGGGAGATAGTTGGAGACATATACTGTGGAGGGGATTGAGAGAGGCAATGGGGGACATGGAGAGAAACTCAGGAGTGTAGACCAAGAGAGACTATCACATGGGTCCATCTAGATGACTGCAATGGGTGTAGTTCTTGTGGTTCTGCTTACTGATTGTTGTGATCAGAACACCAGTCCCCTGGTGACCCAGTAGAGGAGAGTGTGATATGCACCTCCGGCAGGGGCTGACCATAGTAAATTATCCTTCACAGGTGGCTCTCACTGAATATGTCGAAACATTGCCATGGTAGCCCGTGGCAGCATTATAACATCTAACCGTGAGGGAGCTTTTTAAGTGATCTAAACTCACCCGAGGTATAGATCACATCTGCCCCCTTGCTGCCCTAAGATCATGGCCTAGGTAGCCTTTTCACAATCTTTCCTGCCTGCATTGCTAATTTTGAATAAGCAGTGTTTTTGCTGGAAGTGGGAGTCTAGCTGAAAGTTAGGGTTAATCCTAATTCTTACATACATTACATGTATTTCACAATTATGTACTGTGTGTGTCATGTCCTGTGGCCTGTTCCTTTGATAGCAGTTAGCGAAACAATGTAATCTGGGGACTGGACTAGTTCTATTGGATAGACAATTAGATATTATTATTATTATTATTATTAGCCCTTATATAGTGTAAAGATTTTGTGCAGTGCTTTCCAGTTATACAATGGGGATTTTGAACAATAAGTAATTGCCAGAAAAAAACTAGGGTTGACAGACACAAGAGGTGAATAAGGCCCTGCTCAAACGAGCTTAAAATCTAGGAGCTAAGCACACGGAGGGGACCAATATCAGGGTGCCAACCGTTGCAAAACATTTTGTTACATTACTGGGAAACAACAGGGCCAGAGTACTTCTGGCATCAAAACCACTTCAGTGGTCTGTAAAGGTTATGATGCTTAGCAGTAACCCTTTAAAGACTTAGCAATTAACATCAGAATGCAGTTTTGTTCAAGTACAGCCAAGGTACACATTGCCATTGAACAAAGAGAAACAGAAGCGGTGATAGATAGGTATAAAGGTCAGAGTTAGAGCTTGAAAGGGAACACAAATGGGGGCATTCAGTTCCAGGAAAGACCTAAATAGAGCTGTATTGATTTATGAATTTAATTAAATTTTTCAGATCTCACTAAAACATATTTGCTAAATATACTGAATAGGCAAACGTAATATTAAAATACTGGGATGTGATGGGGTCTTTTTAAACATTTACCTATGTGTAAAAGGTTGATCTTGGTGGACTCGAGTCTGACATCAGACATCAGTTGAGCCACAAACAGGCATGGCCATTTCAGTTACCAAGTCTTGTCTTTTCTTCTTCTTTTTTAAAGATTAATATTTTTGCAACAAGCAAACGACTAAGTGACCTCAGTCTGCCTTCCTGTTTCCAGACCGTAGCCAGCAGCAAGACACAACAAGGAGCCATTATAGATATTCTCACTTTTTTTAATTGGACCTGGATCGCTGTTCTGGGAAGTTCCGATGAATATGGTCACCATGGGATACAGTCTTTAATAAAACTTGCAACAGATGAAGACATCTGCGTGGCCTACCAGGGGACTATACCTATCAAAATTCCTGGCAAGGAAAAGGAATGGAACAACAGCATTTTGCAGATTGTCCATAACGTCACATCGGTTAATGTCAACGTAATTGTAGTGTTATCGGTGGACATCGTAGTCCTTGATTTCTTTAGACAGGTGCTCGATACTAATCTCCAAGGGAAGGTCTGGATTGCTACTGAGACCTGGTCTTTGTCTACAGTAATTTACAATTTACCAAACATCCAGAGATTAGGGGTGGTACTTGGCATTGCCGCCAAATATGTTGATATTCCAGGAATTGAGGAATATCTTTCAGATGCGTACAATCAAACAAAAGGACATTCATTAAATCCAGATGTGAAAGAATGCAACCAGGACTGCCAGACTTGTCTGAATTCTACAGAGAGCTCTTCCTTCAGCTTCTCAGAAGACAGAGTGAGCTTCAGTATCTACGCAGCACTTTATGCTGTGGCACATGCTCTGCATATAGTTCTTGGATGTAATGACACATACTGCAACAAAATGGATGTTTATCCATGGCAAGTAGGTATTGAACACTAACACTGAACTACAAAACTGTGTGGTGCTTAAAGTGAACCTGTCATGATATTACAGCCCTGAAAGCAACAGCTGTATAATGTCAGAAAAGCTAAAATATATATTCAAGTAATTTCAATTTAACCCCTTAAGGACACATGACATGTGTGACATGTCATGATTCCCTTTTATTCCAGAAGTTTGGTCCTTAAGGGGTTAAACACTCCAAGCACCATAACCACTACAGTGTGCTGGAAATGTTATAGTGCCAGTAGTGCCCTGGTGCCCCTTTCACCAATGTAAGTAGTCAAACCATTTTAGAATGATTTGACTCATTACCTGTGGTCCACCAGCTGCAGCCAGACGTTTTCAAAGCCTAGCAGTGCAGGGCTTAACTCATTGGCTGAGAGTGATCAACTAATGACTCCAGTCAACGAGCTGGTGCATAGCTATGGAGAAACTCCAAAGTGGGACTTTGAACTCTCCTGGCTGCTGAGAGAAGGTGCAAAATGGTACCTGGTAAAACCTTGGTAAGAAGTCAAAAATTCTAAAACAGCCTACTTACAATGGGGGTTAACTGAGCACTCCTGGTACTATATCCACTACAACATGCTTACTTGGCTCCTCTTCAGTGTGTCAATTCAACCATCTCCTCGACTTTGTGGGTGTTACAGCCCTAGTCATTCCTGCTGCCTGTCCTCCCACTAATCTATTTGGTCCCAAGCAAGGCCATTCTCCTTAATGACACAGACACCTTCATTACCAGCTCATGATGGTAACAATGGATTGACAACTTGAGATGCACTTATTGGGGGAGATCCAGCTTTAGAAGGGTTCTTATGCTCTTCCCTGTCACTCAACTATCAGCATATTCATTTATGCTATAGAGGTCTACACCAACAATTGATTGGCGGGTGCAGGGAGGGACCAACATGTTAAATAGCGTTATCTAAAAATCTATATACTTGTCAGACAATCTTCCAGACCAATGGAAATAATTTTTTTTTTGTACTTTGTTTTATGTAATGTTTTGTGTACAATGACATATACACTGTAAAAGAACTATATACTCTAAAAAACAAGAGCAAATTACATAACATTCACATCAAAATATACCTGGTCCCATTAACATCCCTTTTATATTTTAATCCAGATCACAGATGCTTTTGGACAAGTTAATTTTTCTCTGCTAGGTAACCTTATACATTTTGACCAGTATGGTGACTCTCCTACTGGATATGACATTGTCATCTGGAATTGGTTGGGAAAAACTCATTTTGAAAAAGTTGGATCCTACCCTGAACTAGGAAACCTTGTTATCAATCCAGACAAAATCAAGTGGCAAACAGCAAATAACCAGGTAAATTCTCAAGATTGTGAATAGGTAAAGGAATGACGTTGTTACATATGGACGCGCTACTTCGATTTCCAAAGTGTTTCTTGCATCTAATGGTTCTATAATCTGTTTATTGATGCTCGGAGATGATTTGCAAAAGTAGACAGCCTTTTCAGTGCAGCCTTTTGCACATCATCCTGAGTCCTGGTAAGTGACCTGGGAAACTTGTTTACGATACAGAGCAGGAAGGAATACTAGATAGCTCTGCAGGAATCAAAAGGGAGGCACCTAGAGGCGAACTTGTCTTCATCCTATCTGCGAAGTGTCCCAATTTATTTTTGCTGTATTACACTGTGTTTTTGCTCTCTTGCTTTCTAGATTAACAGCTGTATCCCTAAAGTTTTTCTAAACATAAAATTTTTTTTCTCTCTGTCTCTATTCTCTTTGTTGGTCTGCCTTTATGTTTGTCTGTTTGTTTGTCTGACTTACATGAGTCCCGCAGTAGTCAGTCTGTCTGTCTATCTGTCTGCCTGTCTGCCTCTCTATCTATCTATCTATCTATCTGTCTTAACAGTGAATTGAAAAAAATGTTTTGTCTTATTGTTCTTTTGAAAAAGTAAGTTCATCTGCATTGTTAAATTTCACATGTGTTAAGTAATGTTCATTTTGCCTACATTTTACTCTAGGTACCTTCATCATTGTGTTCTCCTGAATGTCGATCAGGGCAGGAGAAAAGGCAAACTGGAAACTACATTTGCTGCTTTATCTGTGTCAACTGTTCTGCTGGGCAATACCTCAATGAAAATGGTTTGTAATGTACCCAATATAATGTTTTTCCCCAGCTTTAACTGCCTACTATATGAGTGTTGCCACCACTTTGAGAAACCAGTTCTACTAACAACCATCGGCTGTAAGAAGGCTGCTGGAACTATGTACATTTATTGTAAATGGAAAGTGAACTAAATCGCCACTCAGTACACGTTAATTACGCCATATAGTTAGGCAGGATTGCCATAATAATGTTTTTCCAAGGTGTCACGTGAATGCTTGAGAAAGTCTTTGTATAAAAGGAGACATTGTGCTATTTTTGGCACCGAAAACCTGCTTTATTATTTTGACCTTTGTATTGCAATACAGTATAAATATATAAAATTGTTTATTTTCTTTTAGGTATTTGTATAGAGTGCAGCCAACACCAATGGTCAACAGAGGGAAGTACCTTCTGTTATGAAAAAACAAGAGTGTTCCTGACATGGAATGATACCTTAACCATCGCAATATTTACCATGACGATCCTAGGAATGTTGCTTACGGTGGTGGTGATTGTGACTTTTATTGTCCATTTAAAGAGCCCAGTGGTTAAAGCTGCTGGAGGTAAAAGGTGTTTTCTTATGCTTCCTGCCCTGGCAACAGCCTATCTCAGCATTTTGGCCTACCTTGGTGAGCCAGACACAATGAAGTGCATTTTAAGATTACCGTTTTACAGCCTTGCCCTCACCATTTGCTTTTCCTACATTTCAATCCGGTCTTTTCAGATCGTTTGTATATTTAAGATGTCTTCCAAACTACCAGCCACCTACGATTATTGGGTGAAACAAAATGGACAATATGTTTTCTTCATCATACTTTGCAGTACCCAGGTTCTTATCTCTTGTGTCTGGGTAAGCGTCAACCCTCCTATGGAATCCACCAAGGACTTGACATCTGATACGGTTTTATTGTCTTGCAGCCAGTTTACCTCCACATACAATATCCTCCAGTACAGCTACAATGCATTTCTCAGCCTCATGTGTTTTACGTTTGCTTACATGTGTAAGGAAGTGCCCAAAAATTACAATGAAGCCAAGTGCATCACATTTACCATGCTGATTTACTTTGTGATATGCATTTTTTTCTTTACTGCCCAACTTATTGATGTTGGGGAATATGTCAATCCAATAAATGCAGGTCTGGCTCTGGCCAGTCTTCTTGGCATCACAGGAGGGTATTTCATGCCAAAATGCTATATAATTTTCTTAAGACCCCAGCGTAACACAACCAAGTACTTCCAATCAACCATCCAGTCATACACAAAAAGGGGTACAGGGAGCACAAAGTAGTTCTGATGTCTCGAACTATACAGTGGGTTACACATAAAGATATATTTCTAGTTTGTATATAAAGCCCCACTGGTAGTACAATGTAATACAATTGAGGTTTTGATTACAGTTTCTGTAAAGTGTGATGAGTGAGTCATTTGCTGTAATAGAACCCTGTTACAAACAAATTGTACACGACCGATTCTGTCTCATGTTAAGCAGTCAATCACAGAAGCCAACAAAAGTTCTGAGATGGAACAAATTAAACAGTGGATCCACTTTGAGACAAACATTGACTGTTAGTATGTGTCTCTATCATATGATGCCATATGTGTCTACTGTTCATTGCACAGGATCATGCTTAAATTCCCTGGAGTAGGAGTGGGGGGGGGAGGGATGGTCATGGGTAGGAGCATGGGGGTGATACGACAGACATAACCCATGTGGAATGGCAGGCAAGAAGGAGACAGAACATTTAGGAAATTAGGGAAAGAAAACGTCATGGCACTAAAGTAACAAAGTTTTATGGATACTAAGCTCTGTTTCTTGATTTCTGCAGAAGACATAGAACTTGGTTAAAAAAAATAAAACTCAGCATCACTGGTTTAGATTTTAATGGATTTGTGTGTGTTTCAAAACATCCAGCAATAACCATGGTACCCATTCATCACACTGCCCATATTTTCTTTTAGCCTCTTTCTCTCTTTGTCTTAATACCCTTTTCAGACGTTACTACCTCCTCTTTCTAGCGCTTGTGACTTTTTAAATGACCTAATCTAAGGGTAATTTCATTGATATCTGGAAAAAGCAGCATTGTACGATGGCTTGGCATTAGTGATGTCCCGAATGGTTCGCCACGGACGGCGAACATATGCGCTGTTCGGTCCGTCCCCTATGTCATCATTGAGTAAACTTTGACCCTGTACCTCACAGTCAGCAGACACATCCCAGCCAATCAGCAGCAGACCCTCCCTCCCAGACCCTCCCAACTCCTGGACAGCTCACTAAGAATGCAGCTTCACAATGAATGTAAAATGGATGCTGTCCAGGAGGTGGGAGGGTCTGGGAGGGAAGGTCTGCTGCTGATTGGCTGGAATGTGTCTGCTGACTGAGAGGTACAGGGTCAAAGTTTACTCAATGATGACATAGGGGGCGGACCGAACAGCGCATATGTTCGTTCGGCTAACCGATCGGGACATCATTACTTGGCATTCAATCTTTGGAGGTTGCTTGTGGAATTTATACTACTTACATACATATGATTATCTGATCGTATGATTTAATTCTAACTGATACATGAGAAAAGCGTAATTCTGTAAAGGTAACCAGTTTGTGGCCTTCCAATTGTGAAAAAATAGAAATATATATTTTCTATGGTATTGTGTTCATCACAAGAGACTATGCAAAAGTGTATAATAAATCATGCAATAAATTCATATTAAATTTAAGAAAACAAATTGGGATTTTTTTTTTTTTTAGATAACAAATGAGAATAATAAATGAGACGGTTGCCACCTATCTACCCTCCAATGTAATATTCCCTTAGTAAAAGAAGGATCATTAATAACGTCTCAGTTTCCTGGTTTGCAATGAATATGGAAATTCAAGATGCAAACATGTAGTGTACGCCTGGAATATGTAAAGTTAGATGGAAGCTCAAGAAAAATTTTTGCATTATTAAAATGTATGTTGACTTTGCAAAGCTTGTTAAATTCAATTGTACACAAAATAAGTTAAGGAAACTGTATCTGCTTTTTAAAATTATTTTATGTTTGTACGGAAATCCTCTGGCTATCGTGGATGTCTCGTAGTCAGCTATATTAATCAGTGACCCTTCTATAATACACAATTCTGATCTGTAAGCAAGCTGATTTTCATTAAAACCCAAATGAACAGGTATGTGTCTCGTTTTTTTAAAAGGTTTTCCAGTGTCATTTGCCTTTCAGGGATGTAACAAGCTATTCAGCTTAGTGGGGTAAAATTGAAAATGACAAATATACCGTTGTAGATACAGAATATGTATTTACAGATTTACAGGGTTATTCACTAACATGGTTATTTAGTAATCTGAGAATTCAATTTCACACTTAAAGTGACACTATAGTCACCAGAACAACTACAGCTTATTGTATTTGTTCTGGTGAGTAGAATCATTCCCTTCAAGCTTTTTGCAATAAACACTGCCATTTTAAAGAAAATGCAGTTTACATTACAGGCTAGTGATAACTCCACTGGCCACTTCTCAGATGGCTACTAGAGGTGCTTCCTGGGGCAGTGTTGCACAGTGTGACTTGACAGTCTCAGCTTATCCCATGGGAAAGCATTGTGATTGGCTCAGAGAATCACTTCTGATGATGTCAGCCAAGCAGGCAGATCAGGGGCAGAGGTAGCAGCAAGATTTTACTATACTTAGTGAAGCATGGGGGCAGAGCAGGGGGGCTAGATGGTGGTTTTAACACTATAGGGTCAGGCATAAACATTTGTGCTCCTGACCCTATAGTGTTCTTTTAAGGTCATTTTAGCCAGACTGGAAACATTATCTAAGTTAGCTATGCTTTCAATTCAGCTTCTCTGGCCTCAAATTTTAAAATGAATTCATAGCCAAATGCTTGATATCGTGGGAGTTCAGTGGCTCCACCCACATAGTATTCATACTCCAATTATTCTGAACCTAGTAGGAAAAATGGCTTCCACTCCTCTTTGCAATATCACGATTTAATCATCAATGTGATGGAACTTGTCAACAAACAATGAAAATTGTGCCTCCTTCCTATGATTGTGAAAATATCCAATACTAAAAAAAGGAATATTTCCTTAAAATTGATAAATATAGGAAAAAAGAGGCACTAATCTGTAGAGATCCTGGTGTAAATGTGATTAGGTATTCTTAAAAATAAATAAAAAAATGCCTATCTGTAACATTGAATGGTTTTATTTAAAATGTGATATTATACAAAAAGAATCCAAGTTAACACAAATTCAGTTTTTCAATAATAATTCTTTTAATTTCAGGAAAAAAGTTATCTGACACCAATTGGCTCTGTGTGAAAAAGTATTTTTCCAGTTGCTTGCACCCTTTAACTTATGCAAGTCACATGCAGGAAGGTGAGGCTGCATAAACACAGTCATTTAACTCGTAAATGGTAGAGAATTGAGCAGTGAGATTGCAAAGAAAAATCTATACAATAAAACTGCTTCATTAAGCTAAAGTTGATATGGTGCCACTGCCTATAGTGTCCCTTTAATGAAAACATAAGAAGTAGGGACAGATTAGCAGACATTTTCCTTTAAAATGTCCTTGTAGATATCAGAATTCATGCTTCCTTCAATGATGGCAAATTGTCCAGGCCCTGGGTCAGTAAGGTATCGACATAACATCACACAGCAATATCACGTTTTGCTGTTGGTATGATTTTATTGTGAAATGCTGAGTTTGCTTTTTGGTGGGATAATCGCACTTTTCATCTCTCTGTCCACAAAACATCACGCAATCTACTGACTTTCTTATTATCATATCATGAAAATGAGCCTAGGGAGATCAGTAGTTTGTTAGATTTGTCCTGGATGTTTTTTGGCTACATGGATGAGTTGCCGCTGTGCTTTTGAAGGATTTTGGTATGACGGTCACATCTAGGAAGATTTATTACTGTTCCAAATTATCTCACTGTGGTACACTAGAATCACAGAACCTTAGAAATAACTTTCTAACTCTTTCCAGTCTGATATATAATAATTTATTTTCTAATTTCTTCTGAAATTTCCTTTGATTGAGGTGTAATTTGCCATTTGTTGACATATTCTAGCCTACTTCATTATCATGATGAAGTTCTAGATAAATAATGTTTAGATTTCCCTGGGCTGGCAATAATCAATACTGGGTATGTCTGATCTGATTGAATCTAGCTTTCAATTAAATTTGGTTAATGGATTCAATGAGTAACTAAGGGGCAGTTATGTTTCCCACAGGGCCAGATAGTGTTGGGTAACTGTGTTTTTTGTTTTTTTTTTTAAATAAAATTTCAATGTAAAAATTGAATTGTGTGTTTGTTTTGGCTTATATTAAATTTTGTCTGAAAATCCAAAACCATTGGGTATACAAATATGACAAATATGCAGACATCCGGGGACTGACAGTCAGAAACGTGCACCACAAAACGCTGGCGTACGCGGATGACATGTTGTTCGTGGTTACGGACCCGGAGACGTCCCTTCGAGCGATCCAGACGGAATTCGACGTGTATGGCAACATCTCGAACCTCCGAATTAACTACACAAAATCGCAGATACTAAACATAACTACCAGCCAAACCATCAAACGCGTGATTCAGGAACAACACTCCTACCGCTGGCGTGACCAACGCATGAAATATCTGGGAATATGGCTTACGCCCAATCCGGTAGACCTCTACACCCACAACTACCTCCCGATATTGAGAAAGGCAACGGAGGAATTACAACGATGGGGCTCCTACTACATCTCCTGGCTGGGCAGAGTGAACGCGGTGAAGATGACGCTACTGCCGAAACTACTCTTCATATTTCAAACGGTGCCGATAAAAGTCCCACGAACATTCTTCTCGACACTTAAGACGGAGGTCCGCACCTTTATTTGGAAGGGCAAATCCCCACGCATAGCGCACACCCAACTGATCTTACCCAAGCTCCGGGGGGGCTTAGCACTCCCAGACTTCGAAAAGTACTACCACGCAGCACACATCACCAGGGTCATCAGCTGGTCGATAGCCAGCGGCACCAAGCAGTGGCCACAACTAGAAGCTGGCATAACCAACTGCGACCTCAGAACCCTACCGTGGATCACCAAGGCAGCATATAGGAGCAAACGCATCACCAACCCATTCGTGGCGGCGACCATGCAAGTGTGGCATGGGCAAGGCACGAAACGATACCTCACCACGGACCCAGGCCCGCTCCTACCCCTGAAGGGTAACCCAGATTTTCCGGCTGGAGACTACGGCCCAACGCTGGGCCCAGCAAGACGCAATACGATACCCCGCATAAAAGACGTTCTCCACCAACCATTTGACATCCGGCCACTGGAAGAACTATACCCAGACAGGCCGCACACATTTGCCCACGCCCTAGCAAGAACGCAAATTACTCAATATGCTAGATCCATCCCGCAAAAACCTTCCCTACTGAGAGACTTAACGCAATTTGAACTTCTATGCACGCAGGACAGGGAACCTCCTCGTGCCATCTCACAAATCTACACTATCTTAATCACGAGCAGATATCTACTAGCACCCCCGTGCATCAGAAAATGGGAGGAGGACCTTGAGGAACCTATGACAGACGCGGACTGGGACAAGAGCATTATCCTAATACAAAAGACACCGAGCTCGGCACGCTCCCAAGAAAACTCGTACAAGATCTTTACTAGATGGTATCTGACGCCGACGGCGCTACACGCCAGAAACCAGGAACTCGAAGACACATGCTGGAGATGCGGGGAGGAAGCTGGTACGTTTATACATATATGGTGGACGTGCACTCGCATCAGACCGTTCTGGGACAGAATTAGGACAATCATACATGAGGTCACGGAGGAGCTCCTGCCACAGTCCCCAGCCGCCTTCCTCCTACACCACACCACCATGGCGACACAAACATACAAGAGATCGGCTATCCCTCGACTTCTGAATGCAGCTAAGGTGACCATCCCCATCTTCTGGAAACAGACCAGCACACCTCCCATAAAGAGGTGGATAGAGGAGGTGGAAGCCACGAGATCATTCGAGGACTTGAAAGCAGAAACCCCGAGCCACAGCGACTGCCACTGCTGACTAAGACAGCCACGACGCCCGCAGACATGACGGCATACACGTGCCACACACATAACCACCGGCCAGGCCGCAACCGCTCAAGGGATGGCTAGGTATACAGCCCTCGCATGAACAGATGACAGATAACACGCCGCACACTAGACCCACCACCTTGCCGCACCCTACCTCTGGACGAACAAGACATAGAATGACTACAAAATCAGGTGACAGACCAGACAATGGAGTCACGAAGACAGAGGGCCAAAGGTGTCAGACACACCACTCGAAGTAACACACGATCATACATGCACGACACAGACACGAGAGACCACGAATCACATACACGCAGACCACGCCAACAGACCGCTCCACATCATCGGACACCACTGCAGGACATATACGAGACGTCAAATACGACAGCAGAGAACTCATACTCTGACGTTAGGACATGACAGAGTTGTTAACCTCGCGACATAGACACAAGTCGATGGACATTTAAGCCGGAGAGGAGGGGAAGACATAGCCGACACAACACTGAACGTAACCCAAGCAACACACATCACACATGCGACATGCACACAACGGAGGAGACGCAACGAATGACCCAACTCACGTAAACAACGCCAAAGGGCCGACACTAACTACAGCGGCTACAGTAACTGACCACCCCAAAAAGATACATTGCTCCATGCAACATAGTGAGGGACTACATCCTACACTAATATAGGTATAGGCAAACACATACAGAGAAACACCCTAAGGGTCGTTACAGACCTGTTCAAGCACTACCGTGTCGCTCACGGACAATACCTAACCACTACGCTTCTCCCCAAGATATACACCGATACAGCGACTATTTAAATGCAGTTACGCAACACACAACCGGGTCTCGCAAAGGCAACAAGACGCCAGCTAGATACAAAATGTTGACTACAACCACAATGTTTAGGATGTAATAAGTTAGTGAGGTTGCCTGTACACCGCACTGTTATTAGAGCTGACACATAGTCTGTTCCCCCTACTCTATATGCTTACTCTAAAACGACATACAGGCGCCTAGAGGGTAAATGCCTAAAAATGTTACTGTATTAAACGCTATACAACATCTGGCGGGTACACAAAGCCTCTACGAAGGCCACAACCTGTGAACCTGTTCATGCAAATATAACCGGGCCTCCACGCAGGCACGGACCCGCCACTTTAACACTACGTTTGCAATGTACTATGCTAGGAATCTAACAACTAGATGCCACGGATAAGAATATATGGCACATAGCAACGAAAGGTGAACAACAATGTCACGCTAAACGGTCCTCTGCGCAGGCAACCGAATGTTTCCACCGTTATAAATTGATGCTTAAGCCCCTGCGCGGGCAATCACTTGCTTCGTTATTTGACAAAACAGTTTGATACATGCATCCATGTAATGAATACAATAAAAATATTTAAAACAAATATGACAAATATGCAGAAAAAGAAGTAATGAAGGAGGTAAACATTTTTTACAGTGTTACGTTTTTACCTAAATCGGATGATTTATCCTGAAATGGAAATCAATTGACCATCAGTAAGCATTTCCCTTGCTTTTAGTAGTCACTCTTATTGATAAGTGATATATAGTTACCTTTTTGATAATCCTATATCACTCACTTGCACGTCTAAATCCCCGCCTCTGATAAATTTCTAATATTTGTTTCTAAATTACTGTTTTGAAAAGGAAATGTAATTTGCAGAACAGTTTTGCTCTAAAGGCTATATAGACAGCTTTCTGGTACAACATTTTTGAGAAGTACTCATTCAGTAACAGTTATACACACATCTGAAGGACATGAATGGCTTTTGCAGTGAAATATAAAAATTACTAGATGGTGCCAAATACTTACAAATGGATGGGTAATTATAGTTCTTTGAAATGATCCACATGGCTGGTACTTAGTGGACCATGCTATTTGAAAACATTCACTGTTTCAGTGCACTTCAGGCTTGACATGATTGTAGCAGTAACTAGCATAAACCATATACCAGATAAGGACACCCCAACCAAAGTGCAGAAAGATATATATATATATATATATATATATATAAATATATATATATATATATAATGCAGCAAGGATGGAATTAGCAAGGCTGACTGTGCTGTGTACAATAAATTATAGGCTTCATAGCTGCAAGATATACAAATATGAAAAGGATTTAAACCGATTAACCAAAGGCAGCACGCACTGTGTATAAGGACCATTCTATGTGCCAACAATATTAAATAGCACAAAAGGATACAGGAAAACAGGTTGCCCCTAAATAAAACAACAAAGTATAAGGAACAGAACAATATAAAAGTTACAGTTCATCCAGAATAAAATGTAAAAACAAGAGACATGCCAGGATAAAATCTCAAAATAAATAGTACAAATGTTCTTCTGAAGATTTTAAATCATATGCGGTGGAATCCATTCTCATAAGGTACATATGTAGAAAAAACAAAACCCCTATGTGTAGTATGTAACACAAAAAGTGAAAAACATACAATATAAATTATGGAAATGTCGACTCACATTTGCTAGAGTTATCATACAAACTCCGGTAGTGATGGTTTGTAGTGATACAATCCCCACTAGTAGATATGATCTGTCCAGTGGGTCACAGTGAAATATGTAAAGAGGAGATACATCTAATAGTGCAGTATTGAAAAATTAAACGAGTTTGACAATTTTTCACTTACTCTATTCTAGATAGATAGATAGAAGGTTTATAGCAAAGCAGAATAGTAATATATACAAAATCATACATATACTACAAACATTAAGACAATCTCAGTTTGACACCATGGCCTTGATTTAAAGGACCACTATAGGCACCCAGACCACTTCAGCTTAATGAAGTGGTCTGGGTGCCAGGTCCAGCTAGGGTAAACCATTTTTTTATATGTTAGGGTTAATCCAACCTCCAGTGGCTGTCTCTTGACAGCCGCTAGAGGCGCTTGCGTGCTTCTCACTGTGAAAATCACAGTGAGAAGACACCAGCGTCCATAGGAAAGCTTTGAGAATGCTTTCCTATGGACTGGCTGAACGCGCGCGCATCTCTTGCCGCTCATGCGCATTCAGCCGAAGAGGAGGAGAAGAGGAGGAGAGCTCCCTCAGGGCACTATAGTGCCAGGAAAACGAGTATGTTTTCTTGGCACTATAGTGGTCCTTTAATAAGCTTTCTAAATAAATCATACTGTTAGAAAAACTTATCTATGTACAAAAATTCCCTTAGTGTTTAATGGTGACTTTTTTATATACATCATTTTTTTTTTAACATTAATAAATCATTTGGAAAGTTTCTGAAATATTTATTTTTCTTTATTTTCTTTCTTTATTTTTAAAATTGTATTTATGTTGTGTGTGTATATACATATATTGCAATTTGTATCCTATATAATATATGTTTTCTTTTAAGATATACAGCAAGTAAAAGTCCCGGAAACCTCACTATTTGACTAGACATCCTGAAGGTTTAAAATACTGATAATTTAATCTAATCAAATGTTATGGCCAGTGCCAGATGGGCATTTTTGAATAATTTCTGATTTATCCTGTTATGACACAGACAATTCTTTCTACTTCCTAAAACCTTTCAGTATCTCTATATACTGTATAGTATCACACCGTAAACACAGTTTAATTTTATTTTTGGTTTTGTTTTTTTGTTGTGTTTGCTTTTTTTTCTTTTTTTTTCTACTGGGCAGTCTCCCTATCAGAGAAATGATATTCAGTTGGATTTTATTTTGGGAATTCATTTTTGGACTCATTCTCGTGAAGGCTGACGATCAGGAACCCATAGCTTACCAAATTTTTAGAAAACCCGGAGAATTCATGATTGGTGGCTTGTTCCCCTTTCATTCTACAGTGGACAATTATGGCAACTACTGGAAACCAGAGGCAATAATATGTGAAAGGTATTGTTTGAATAAGTCTATATTACTAGATGTTTTGGGATTTGTGATAATATTGGTCAAATGCTTTGGGCCATTAGGGGAATTACATAGGATAGGATATCTAAAAAAATGACAACTGCTATTTTTAGTGACACTTTTCTAAGCTTTATTTCAACTATTTTGTTTGGGATATCTTTTTACATTTTGCTTAATGTACATATGAAAACCTGTAGGAGCGAACAGTAGGTTCACTTGACTTCTCCTTACCTGGAATTTGAATGTCTTATAGCATATTAGTGCATATTTATGAGAAGGCTAGCCAAGGTTTGTTCCTCTTTAGCATAGTCCTCTCTATTATGCTCCCTGGTGGTCTTTAGACTGTGTAATGAATCTGGGATAACGTAGTACACCCTGGTGTTCCCATTCATTAAGCAATGTGTGGATCGTCTTTATGTCATAATATTATTAAGGACACATAATTTGTGTCCTTAATTTGATGCAACTATTTTTTTAGAATACAAAACCTAAATAATAAAGAATATTAGTTTTAATGAAAAATCCTGACACTCTTGTATATATTGAATATGTAGAGATAACATAAGTACACAAGGTAGATTCAGCTAACTACCTTTTTAAGTTGATTTTCAAAATAACGCGTTTTTCTATGGCAAATACATGGAAATGTATAAATCTTCTTATAATACTCTTAATTGGAAGTTTCAATTCAAATTCAAGTATATGATGACTTGTAGAACTTTCATAAGGATCAGATGGTCCATAATGTTTTGTCAGATATGTTTGCATTTTATAAATAATTAATAGTTTTTAAGAAATTCGTAACAGTCTTTATCATGACATATTTTCTATTAACACAAAATATTTCAGTTTTAACCCTACAGGTTTTCTACAGGCTTTGGCCATGCAGTTCACTATAGAGGAAATTAATAACAGCACCATCATCCTTCCTGGAGAAAGTGTTGGGTATGAAATGTACGACACCTGTCTGAGTTCTATTGCTGTTATCCATTCTGTCCTCATGTTTCTGGCTCAAAATGGTACAAATCAAGTAGAAATGCAATGCAATCTTACAGAGTATAAAACCAGAGTCATGGCTGTGATTGGACCTTCAAGTACTGAGGTTGCAACGTCCTCGATGAAGATTCTAAGCACTGTGCTAATTCCCCAGGTAGGTTTCTGGCTAACATACCTTCATGAAACCATAACTAGGTGTTCACAGATATAGAGGCCGCTTTTATATTCTCCACCAGAGAAAAAGATTCATGTTACAGGTCAAACTTTTGGTACTCTAGCTGGTCTAGACATCGTATCCCAAAATGCTTCAACAGCTAGTGGGTTATGTGCACAACAGTAAATAAAGTTTAACAAACCAGTATGGAACTGGAAGGTTCCGTGTTATGTTGCAAATTCTTGGATTATGCAAGACTATCAGTTAATTAATTTGTCTGTCTTGTACACGTTTGAGTTGTTTTATTTTGTTTACATCAATATTAGTGACCACATACCCACCAACAGATAAGATTGAATAAACCTCCCCTGTTGGATTCTCAGTATGAACGAGAGACACAACTTACAGTGTAATATATATGTATCCCATGCTCCTATAGCTTAGCCTTTTCTCCTGCCAACCAAATTTACGTTATTTCCATTGCTCAGCTATCATCCCCATCCTAAAAATTCTCTTTTTTAATCCTAACTATCTGGGCAATCGCCTTGACATGAAGCTCCTCTTTACAAAGTCTTTTAGAACTTTTGTAATTCAGGGTTCGTTGCAATGGTTATTACAGGTTTGTAAGAGTTACCCTGTTTTCTTCCCAAATATTCACCTTACTAGTGAGATTCTGTTGCTTGATTATTGTCCCCAATTAATTTATTCCATGATTTAAAACTGACCACTTCTGAAAGAGGAATGACATGGTTTGAGATGATTTTTGGACATGTGGACCAGTGATAATTAATGTTTTTGCAATAAAAGCGAAGAGAAGGCACTCAATGGATTTTTGAAAATGTGCACTAATTAAATAATGCAATATCTCCAGAAACATTTGTTTAGCCTAAAAATACTCAGTGACCCAAGTGTGGTAGGCATCTAAAAGAAAATCATTGTTATGCAAATATCAAATATCTACTTTAATTTGAACAATGGCTTTACTCATTTTAAACAGTTATTTAACAATCTGTGTTGATGGGATAATTAGGCATCTTGAGACATGGAGGTTGGAAAACATTGCCTATATTTTTTAATTTAACTATATTAATAAAATCAAAGAATGCATGTTTTTAAATGTATTTATTTGGATTTCTTCTTGATACATTTTTTTCAGGTTAGCTATGCTGTAACTTCGGATGTATTTAGCGACAAAAATATCTATCCATCCTTTTATCGAACAGTGCCAAGCGACAGTAAGCAAGTGGATGGCATGATAGCATTGATCTCCTATTTTAGATGGAACTGGATTGCAGTTGTCGGCAGTGACGATGACTATGGTAAGAGTGCTTTACAGCAATTTTCTTCCTCGGCCATGTCCAGTGGGATCTGCATCTCCTACAAAGGTCTCATCCCCGTGTACCTCTCAACCTCCGACACAACTACTGCGATTGAAAATATCCTGGATGAAATTGAGAAGGCTGATGTCAATGTAGTCTTGGTCTTTGCAAGTTTAACCCAATCTATAGCATTTTTCAAAGAGGTCATCATGAGAAACATGACTCAAGTTTGGATAGCAAGTGCATCTTGGGTCCTTTCACAGAGTATTCTATCTATGCCTGGCATTGAGCGTATTGGAACAGTAATTGGCTTCTTTCCAAGTGTGCAAACTATTCCAGGATTTGACATATTTGTTAAGAACACAATCTCAAAAATATATGCAAACCAATTATCTTCTCAATCCACATCTACAAGCACCGTGGGAAGTAATTCCGACTACCAAGGCCTTGATTTTAAAGTTGATCAGATCCCTATCATTCTAAATCCACTGACAGAATTGAATGCTCAGAGTGTATACACAGCAGTATATGCTGTTGCATATGCCCTTCACAATCTTCTGAACTGTAATTCTGTAAAATGCAACAAGAAAAATGCTACCATCTACCCATGGAGTGTAAGTTATATCCTTTTCTTTACTGTGATATAATTATTTAACCAAAAACAGCATAATCAGCTTTGTGTTATATAAAGTATCTATTCTATATATGCCAAACAGTGCAATATCATGGTGCTTTAGTTGGAGTTAACCCATTTAAGCCAAATTGCCTTAAAGGGACACTGTAGGTACCCAGACCACTTCAGCTCATTGAAGTAGTCTGGGTACTGTCCCTATTGCACTTAGTGCTGCAATGTAAAACATTGCAGGTCCAGGTGCCGGGCATGCGCATTAGGTCTCCCCCACCGACGTCAGCCAAGAAGCGTGGCCAGAGCCTGACCCAGCACTGAGGGACATCGGCTTCAGATTCAGGTAAGTGGCTGAATCCTAATTGTCCTTGACCTTTCTGCTGCTTTTGATACTGTTGTTCTTCAACAGCTTCTTCTCATCCGCCGTAACCTAGGTCTACGATAATTATAATAATACACTCTTCAGCCCTGCTGGAGAGGGTTGCGAGGGAGGGGGGCACTGTAGGGACCTATAGTGTCAGGAAAATGGGTTTGTTTTCCTGGCACTATAGGATGCCTTTAACTTTTTTAATAATAAAAACAAAACACAAATCTGACTAACATTGAATATCACCAAGTATACACATATCTACCCTCCTGCAGCCAATTCACTTTAAATGTTAAAGGGATTCTATAGTGTTAGGAATACAAATCTGTATTTCTGACTCTATAGTGCTTTCTGGTTTCCTCTACCTTTCGCCACCCCTGGCTCATAAAGGGTTAAAAAATTATTTAGTCATTTTCCCGATTTCGGCGCCTATCACCCTTGCTACTGGGTCAGTGCTCTGCTTTCTCAAACATCATCCAACGGGCAGGGCTATTTGCTTTATTGCTTATTTTGTTTTTCTATGGAGATTTTACTGATGCTGGATGTCACCGTGCAGAGCATGAAGACATCCAGCATCAGGTGACCTAAAGTCCGTTAGCCACCAGGAAGCGCCTCTAGTGGCTGTCTGATGAAGTGATGAAGTGGCTTGACAATCGCTCTCACTTAGCGACAATGAGACATTAGAAATGAGAGCTGGGAAATATTATAAAGAGTTGGGGAATAGAATGCAGAGCTTGATAACGGAACACATAACTGGGGAATAGAATACAGAGCTGGGGGTAGAATACTGCACTAAGAGTATACCCGACATTTAATTTTTGCAAATCTTTCATTATTAAAGGACCACTATAGTCACCCAGACCACTTAAGCTCAATGAAGTGGTCTGGGTGCCAGGTCCCCCAGGTTTTAACCCTTCAGATGTAAACATAGCAGTTTCAGAGAAACTTCTATGTTTACATTGCAGGGTTAATCCAGCCTCCGGTGGCTGTCTCCCTGACAGCCACTAGAGGCGCTTCCGCGACGCTCAATGGGAAAATCCTATTGAGCACGCAGAATGTCCATAGAAAAGTATTGAGTAATGCTTTCCTAAGGGTGGTTTGAATGTGCGCATGGCTGTTGCCGTGCATGCGCATTCTGCTCCACTCAAGAGCTGACGTCGGAGGGGGAGGAGAGGTCACCAGCGCCGAGGGAGCCCGACGCTGGATTAAGGTAAGTGGCTGCCAGGTTTTTAACCCATTCAGCCCAGCAGGCGGGGGTCCCCGAGGGTGGGGAGGGTCCTAAGGACTATAGTGGTCCTTTAAGTGTTAAGAAGTTACTAAATAGCTAAGCTGGCATAGGACATGACACCAGTGGCGTAGCGTGGGTTGTCAGCACCCGGGGCAAGGCAAGTAATTTGCGCCCCCTAACCCGTGGATTTTAGCACTCGAGTCTCTTCCACTAGATTAGTTAAAGAAACCCTTACCCCCCAAGCACATGTATTGTTTGTTATGAAAATACTTATGTAATTAAAGTAAAATGCATCTAAATACAAGTTTATTTTCCAACACTTTATTGAGTGCGAACATGCATTACACACATTCTCCACATTTTCAGCAGGTCTATGAATACAAATATACAAATGTAGTAACCTAGCATGGGCCATGCTATTATATGTCGTCTCACAACCATCGTAAACGACAAAAAATATCAAGAACAAAAACTAAACATCAAAATGGAACCATACCCTGGAGATGATCCAAGACTGGGCTAGATGGAGCCAACTTCCTCAATCCTGTACCTCTAATTGTAATTCTTTAATATAAGTGCAAGATATCAATCTGTATATAATATAGAGATTAATTTAAATTTGCCTGCTTTTAATTAGCGCAAATTTTTCAACAACGGAATAGTGTTTCTTTAATGTGAGGTAAATTAGAGATTAGTGCCACAAATAATATACTAGATTGCCTACTTACAACGAGATGAGGATGATGATGGGCTCTAGCTGCAGTCTGGCTCCACTGGTCTGGTGTAGAACAGGCTCTCTGGAGGCTGTTTGTAACTGTGGTCACAAAAATCAATATACTAGGAGAACGGGAAGCAGCTCCATTTTTGGGGGGCCCTTTACACAGCTCAAGGTCTGGGTCCCAGGGTCCACCTTCATGTTCCACCAATGAGTTTGTTCACAGGGGTGGAGTGTGTAGGGGATGTCCTGATTTGTGTGTAAGGAATGCATTGTGTGAATCTGTGTTTGTATGTGTAGGGCTGCAAGGTGTGTTTCTGTGTATGTAAGGGATGAAGTGTGTGAGTCTGTAAGGGGTGCTTTGAGTGTGTTTAAGGGGTGCATTGAGTGTGTGTAAGGAATGCATTGTGTGTTTCTGTGTGTGTAAGGGATGCATTGTGTGTAAGGGTTACATTGTTTGTGTGTGTGTGTGTGTGTGTTTTTCTGTGTGCAAGGGGTGCATTGCATGTGTGTGTGATGGATGTCAATCTCTCCCCCCTCCCTTGTTACTCTCTTCTCCCCCCTCTCCCTCCCTTGTCACTCTCTTCTCCCCTCCCCCTTCCCACTCTCATTGCCCCTTCCTCCCCTGTAACTCTCACCCCCGTCAATTTCTTCTCCCCCCCACCAATTTCTTCTTCTCCCCCCTCCCCTACCAATTTCTTCTTCTCCCCCTCCCCTACCAATTTCTTCTTCTCCCCCCCTCCCCTCCCCATTTCTTCTTCTCCCCCCTCCCCTACCAATTTCTTCTTCTCCCCCCTCCCCTGCCAATTTCTTCTTCTCCCACCCTCCCCATTTCTTCTCCCCCCTCCCCTACCAATTTCTTTTTATCCCACCCTCCCCATTTTATTATACCCCTCCTTACCAATTTCTTCTACCCCTCCTCCCCATTTCTTCTCCCCCCTCCTACCAATTTTATTTCTCCCCTCCCAATTTTGCTTCTCCCCCCTCCTGCAATTTCTTCTCACCCCCCTCCCCTCCAATATTTTTTCTCCCCCCTCCATCCCAGGTTTTCCTCCCCCCCTCCCCTCCCAATTTCTTCTCCCCATCCCCCTCTGAATTTCTTCTCCCCCTCATCCCAATTACTTCTCCCCCCCTCCCATCCCAATTTCTAGCTATTACCCCCTCCCTGACAATCTCTTCTCCCCCCCCCCTCCATCCCAATTTCTTCTCCCCCCTCCCTCTGTTCTTTTTATCCCACCCTCCCCACATTTATTCTCCCCCCCCTCCTTACCAATTTCTTCTACCTCCCTCCCCATTTCTTCTCCCCCTCCCTGCAATTTGCTTCTCCCCCTCCCAATTTTGTTTACTCCCCTCCCCTCACAATTTCTTCTCACCCCCCTCCCCTCAATATTTTCTCTCCCCCCTCCCATCCCAATTTTCTCCCCCCTCCCTCCCCAATTTTGCTTCTCCCCATCCCTCACAGTTTCTTCTCCTCCATCCCAATTACTTCTCCCTCCATCCCAGATTTCTTCTTACCCTCCCCTGACAATCTCTTCTCCCCCCCTCCCATCCCAATTTCTTCTCCCCCCCTCCATCCCAGTTTCTTCTTACCCCCTCCTGACAGATTTCTTCTCCCCCCCTCCACATCCCAATTTCTTCTTACCCCCTCCACTGACAATTTCTTCTCCCACCCTCCCCATTTCTTCTCCCCCCTTCCCTCCCAATTTCTTTCTCCTCCCCCCCACCTTTGTTGTAGCGTGGCCGAGCCCTGCAGCATGATGGTCCGCGGGTACAGGTTGCTTTTGTTTCCTGTTAGTCCGGCCGGGTACAGGAGACAGCTGCTCTCTGTACCCGTCGGACCATCATGCTGCAGGGCTCGGCCACGCTACTACAGAGGGAGTGACAGGAGGGAGCGCTGAGCGTTTCCCTCCTGTCAGCCCCTCTCCCCATGCTGCGCCCGGGCGGTGCGGTCCGCCCTCATGGACGCACCGCCCGGGCAAAGCTGCAGCCGCCTGAGGCTCTCTACAGAGCGCTCGGGCGGCTGCAGCATGGGGGAGCCGGCCCTGAGCGCGCCCCCACAGATGTTGCACCCGGTGCGGCCGGCCCCCCCTGCACCCCCACGCTACGCCTCTGCATGACACACCATTATACATTTAGCATAGTAATCTCAATAAAAACAAAAACAATACCCCATTTTTTTAAAGTGAGGAGAGTAGTCATATGGCGTAATGTTGTTAAATGGACACTGTAGGACATTGAAATGGTCTGGGTGCAAACTCCCATCACTCTTAACCCTGAGCATGTAACTATTGCAGGTTTTATAAACAGCTATAATTACCTGCTAGGGTTTATACCTTGTTTAGTGCCTGTGTACCAGACAGCCACTAGAGGGACTTCTGGGTGCTTATACGACTTTTGGTTGCCTAAATGACGCTGGACGTCCCCACGCTATGCATTAAGACGTCCAGCGTTGCCAGAATCCCCATAGGAAAGTATTAAATAGTGTTTTCCTATGGGGAGATCCTAATGCGAGCTGAGCCAGCACCAAGAGACATTGGCACTGGACCCAGGTAATTGACAGAAGGCGAGGGGGGAGGTTGACAAAGGGGGACGCTATAGTGTCATGAAAATGAATTTGTTTTCCTGGCACTATAGTTTCCCTTTAAGGTAGCATTATAGTACATATGCTATAACCACATATACAGCAACTGGCTGAATTTACAAATACATTTCTAATCAGCAAAATTAAAACAATTACCTTTCTCTTTATGACAGTTACTGAAAGAAGTGAGAAAAGTTAATTTTAGCGTCTTTAACACTACATTCGGCTTTGATGTAAATGGTAATCCTAAAACTGGATATGACATTGTCATCTACAATCTCAGTGATACTGATACTGAGTTTATTAAGATTGGATCATACAACAATGTCATGGATTTAAATAGTTCACTTATTTACTGGGGGACACCCAACAATAAGGTGAGTAGAAGATAAGAGTGTGAATGTGTATCTATAAAAGATCGTTTTATTACTTTCTTTCTCCTTTAATGCTCTATGCTAGTGCTCCTCAACCCTCTCCTCAAGGCCCACCAGGTTGACTACCCCTGCCTTAGACACACCTGGGTAATCCCTAAATCCTGGACTGATAGGAGTGCTCTGAGGAGAGGGTTGAGGAGCACTGCTCTATACGAAGGGTAGGCAACCTTCAGCACTCCAGATGTTGTGGACTACATCTGCCATAATGCTCTTACAGCCATAGTGCTGGCAAAGCATCATGGGAGATGTAGTCAACAACATCTGGAGTGCCAAACATTGCCTACCCCTGCGTAAGTCAGATATTCTCCCCTGTTACGATTTATCAACATGGTTAAATAAACATGTATATCCATATGTAGGCATATTCTTTTCAAAGACCAGTACTAGCATTTATTTAGTTTATTTACTAGGTTCCTGAGTCCCAGTGTTCTGGTGATTGCTTACCAGGGCAGATTAAACGAGTGAAGGGAACTCATTCTTGCTGCTATGACTGCATTGACTGCCAAGAAGGATTTTTTCAGTCTGCTGATGGTAAGCTGTTGCAAGATGTTTTTTAAATGTTTCAAAATCAAACTTAATTTTTTTGTCCAAATCTAAATTAATTTTTTTCCAAAATGTAAACCTTATTATGGGCAAATGCAAATATTGTATTTCTCAAACAGTGTACTTTGTCTTTAAGAGATAGTGCAAACTGACATGGTGTTAAAATATTTTACCTACTTTCAGTGCATAATATGTTTACGCCATTTTGTCCCAAATGAAATACAATAACAATAATGCATAAACAAGCTTCAAGGCTATGCTATGACTCTTTCAGTATATAATATACTGCGGTAACCCTAAATAGATAAAGATGTTCAGACTTTAAGATTCCATCTTGTCCTAAGTCAGGGAATTCTCCATAATATGTGCACCCTTACGTTTTAGTTATGACTTTGTATTTTTGCCAAGTTAAGGGAGGTCCTAAAATGAATAAAGTAAAAGAAGTATTACTTTTTCATATATGAACTACGGTGACCCTAAAATAAAGACACCTAAGGTTTAAATATGTGTTACATTTACATGTTAACACAGAGAGGAGAGATTTGGAGCCAGAAGTAATGATTTGGACAGTAAGGTCACTTTAATAATACTTTTCATATAGCAGATATGTGATATGATTTTATATATCAGAGCATAATCACTTGACATGACTGCATTTTTTTTTCTTAAAAAAAATATACATTATTATTTCTTTTTTCTTTTTTAAATGTTAGTCTGTTTAGAACAAGCATGTCAAACTCTCGGGCCGTGGGCCGAGGACCTGGCGAGCCGCGAGTGCATGCTCAGTGTTATAGCAGAGTAGGCACCTGCTTTCCCCACATTGCAGGTACCTACTCTGCTATCACTTACCTGGCCAGGGAGAAGGGCCTGCGAGGGAGCTCAGTGTTCCTGCTCCTCACTGCTCCCTCGCGCCGTCTATAGTGAAACCGGGCGCAGGAATTTGACATCACTAAACCGCGCGAGAGAGCAGTGAGGAGCAGGTAGAAGTACCCCAGGGAGATGCCGCACATCGGCTCCAAATGATAGGGAGCAATAAAGTAAAGTGTGAGTGTCTGTCAGTGTGTGAGTGTCTGTCAGTGAGTGTGTGTGAGTGTCTGTCAGTGAGTGTGTGTCTGTCTGTGAGTATGTGTGTCTGTCTGTCAGTATGTGTGTGTGTCTGTCTGTCTGTATGTGTGTGTTGTGTATGTCTGTGTGCCTGTCTGTGTGTGTCAGCAAGTGTGTTTGTGCCTGTCAGTGAATGTGTGTGTGTGTCTGTCAGTGAGTATGTGTGTATCTGTGTCTGTCAGCAAGTAAGTGTGTGTCTGTCTGTCAGTGAGCGTGTGACTGTCTGTCAGTGAGTATGTGTTTGTATGTCTGTCTGTGAGTATGTGTGTGTGTCTGTCAGTATATTTGTGTGTCTGTATGTGTGTGTGTGTGTGTCTGTATGTATGTGTGTGTCTGTCTGTTAGTGAGTATGTGTGTGTGTGTCTGTCTGTCAGTATGTGTGTGTGTCTATTTGTGAGTAAGTATGTGTGTGTGTGTCTGTTAGTGTGAGTATGTGTGTGTGTCTGTCAGTGAGTATGTGTGTGTGTCTTTCAGTGAGTATGTGTGTGTCAGCGGGAGGATCAGATTTGGTGGTAGAGGGGGTGCTGTGGTTTAGTAGAGTGGGGGCTGGGATTTATTAGAGAGGGGTGCTGTGGTTTAGTAGAGGGGGATGCTGGTTTTTCTTTTTTTATACTCTACTTTTTAAAATAAAACCTACGTTTCTATGAAAATGTAAGTTTTTTGTTTGTTTTTTGCAGCCCACATAAACCTTAAACCTTGTTTATGTGGCCCGTGCCAGACTTTGAGTTTGACATGCTTGGTATATAACTGCGGCAGCACATAGCTTTTAAAGAAGCAATGGTTTACCCATCACTGAGGGTGTTTTTATTTATTTTTTTATAAATCAGTCCCTGGCTCTGAGACAGCAGGCATGTAGATGCTCCTAATGCCTAGTCTATATATATATATATATATATATATATATATATATATATATATATATATATATATATATATATATATATATATACATATATATATATATATATATATTTATAAACAACATTGTTATATGTATATATAAACAACATTGATATTTAATCTTATTTTATATTATTTTATGAAAACCTGATTTATGAAATTTACTGAGATTACATGTCTGATCTGAATACAATTAGTGCAATATCATTGTTCTAATTTCCTTACTGCCACCACTGCAGGTACAGTGGGATAGTACCACTGATTTAAGTAAGCTTTCCCTTTTAAAATCGGTGGACTTTAATCCTTCTGCCATTGCAATAGACAGGGCCGTCTTTAACGCGGGGCAAACGGGGCAGCTGCCCCGGGCCCAGTTGCTCCTGAGGTGCCCCAGAGCAGCTGCCTCGTGGGTCCCGCGATTTGAGCAGCTCCCCTTGGACCCGGCGGGGCAGCTGCACAGAGCCACACCAGCCGCACGCTAAAGAGGGCCCCCGGGTGGCCCATACACTAAGGGCCACCCGGTGGGCATGTGGCAGAAGGGGCCCGGTCGGGCGCTGTGACACTTAAACAGCGCGACCGGTCCCCTTCCTGTTCGGCAGCCGGCTGGGAGGAAGTGAGTGCCGCGCGTCACTTCCTCCCACGGGTGATCACAACCGCGCGGGAGGAGGAAGGCAGGGAGGAGGGGAGTTCCAGAGGAGAACTCCCATCTGCCTCAGCCTGCCACTGGACCAGGGAAACCACCCTCCAGAAAAAAGGTAGGAAACTGGAGGGTGGCTAAATGTATGTGTGTGTGTGTGCATGTCAGTATGTGTGTATGTATGTCTGTGAGAGTCAGTATGTCTCTGTGTGTGTATGTCAGTATGTCTGTGTGTCACTAAGTCTGTGTGTGTATGTCTCTATGTGTGTGTATGTGTGTATGTCTGTGTGTGTGTCAGTATGTCTGTGTGTGTCTGTATATGTCAGTATGCCTGTGTGTGTGTTTGTCAGTATGCCTGTGTGTGTGTCAGTATATCTGTGTGTGTCAGTATGTCTCTGTGTGTCAGTATGTCTGTGTGTGTATGTCAGTATGTCTGTGTGTCACTAAGTCTGTGTGTGTGTCTATGTCTGTCTGTGTGTATGTGTATGTCTCTATGTGTGTGTATGTGTGTATGTCTGTGTATGTATGTGTATGTCTGTGTCAGTATGTCTGTGTGTGTCTGTATATGTCAGTATGCCTGTGTGTGTGTTTGTCAGTATGCCTGTGTGTGTGTTTGTCAGTATGTCTGTGTGTGTGTGTCAGTATGTCTGTGTGTGTGTGTCAGTATGTCTGCCTGTGTGTGTGTGTCAGTATGTCTGTCTGTCTGTGTGTCAGTATGTCTGCCTGTGTGTCTGTGTCAGAATGCCTGTTTGTGTGTGTCAATAGGTCTGTCAGTGTATGCGTCTGTGTGTGTCAGTATATTTGTCAGTTTATGTGTCTGTGTATTCATGAATGTGTGTCTGTGTGTCTGTGTGTGTGTCAGTATGTCTGAGTGTGTGTCAATATGTCTGCCAGTATATATTTGTGTGTCAGTGTATGTGTATGTCAGTATGTATCTGAGAATGTTTTAATATGTCTGTCTGTGTGCGTATGTGTCAGTATGTCTGTCAGTGTGATTGCGGGTTGGGTGTAATTAAGGGGTTGGTGGGGGAAGGAGCAGGGCCCAGGGGGCCCAAGAAAATGCATTGCCCAGGGTCCTAATCATATTATAGACGGCCCTGGCAATAGACTAAAGTCTGTACCTGAGTAAGCAAAGTCATTATGTGCAGGAATTGTGCACTTTAAATAATAGAATACTTATGCTATTCTAGTGAGTTGGGCTGGTTGGTTAACACATCATTTAGTGTCTTTCGGTTACATTTAAAGCTGTAAATGTATTTAACATTTTATGTAAATAAACCATTCAACAATTTCAGTTTAAAAGTTATCAGAGATCCTGTATTATTACAATTTTATTTTGCCCTGATTTATCTTACATATATATTATTTTGAATTATTTTATAAATAATTATTTTGCAGAGCATTTAAAGAAGCAAAGGATGTATAACAACCTGTTGCCCTTCTGTTATATATTTTTTCATATTAACAGATTTTAACAGGCAGTAATGCAATAATTAAAAATCCTGTCTGTCTGTTGCTTCTGTGGCATTAATGTTTTCATTAAGCCATAATGCAATTTTCTTTGCATTCTTGGAATTAGACTTCAAAATCTATTAGTAAAATAATAGCAAGTCTTTCATCGCTGTCATCACTTTTCGCTTGACAACATATTGCATTAGTTGTTTTTTTCTGCACATGCAAACTTATGCAGCTACAGAGAGAACATGGCCCCCTGCCTACAACCCACTGTCTTGGAACTAATGGACCATGCTGTGTTGGTGTATTAGGCATATTAGGGAGTTTACCAAATATGTATATTTGTTCTCTTATGATATTAATTAAGATCCACAGTTTCAGCATTGTATGCTAATTATAATGTACCTGGCACCTGAGCTCAAAGTGCCTTTTACAAGTTCACATTAAAATCATCTCTTCATGATGAAGATCTCTCTCTGAGTCTGGGTTACAAAAACCTAATTAGATTATTGATATTTCAAGACTTCTGCCATTACAAAGTATTGTGTCTTCTCTTACGTATAAGAGGTTACCTAGGTATTTATTATTTTATAGTTAAAGCTTCCAAGTAAAAGCCCCACGTTGGGCGCCAATTATAACCGTGGCTGGTTCCCTTATTTACCACTATAATGTCATAAAGCATAGAACTTAGCAGGGCTACCCATACAGACATCTTAGCTATGATGTTATATAGTTAGTAAGAGATCCTCTAGTTAACATTTATAAATAAGTGCGAATACAATATAAAACAAGGATTGTGTTGGAAGCAATAAAGTTTTGTCTTTTAAATATTTTATTAAATAAAAATATAAATATAGACATATAAAATCCATTACAATAATTTATAGCAGAGTTTATAGGATTAAACTAAATGCTTGCAAATATCATTAATATAATAACATACCCTACTGAACATGTCATCATGTCAGCCTCTCTGTCATTATAAGACGGAGCATCTGTCTCCAAATCTCTCCTCTCTGTGTTAACATTTAAAAGGTACAAATATTTATACCTTAGGTGTCTTCATTTTAGGGTTACCATAGTTCATATATGAAAAAGTAACACTTCTTTTACTTTATTCATTTTAGGACTTCCCTTAACTTGGCAAAAATACAAGGCCATAACTAAAACGTACGGGTGCACACATCATGGAAAATTCTCTGACTTAGGACAAGATGGCATCTTAAAGTCTGGACATCTTTATCTATTTAGGGTTACCGCAGTATATTATGTACTGAAACAGTTGTAGCATAGCCTTGAAGCTTGTTTATGCATTATTGTTATTGTATTTCGTCTGGGACAAAATGGCGTAAACATATTATGCACTGAAAGTAGGTAAAAGGTTATTTCTTAAAGAAACATATATGAAAAACAATATGTTCATTTTCATGGGCAGTTGGCTCTGCTGCCCGAATGGCAACTCAATGGGGGCAACTGAAATTCCTACCTAAAATAGACTAGGCATTTGCAAAATCTGCTGAAACAGGACAGATTTCAAATCTGTCTTGTTGATTTTCTACACAGCCACCAATGAGGGAGGATGGGCTCTGCGAACTGAAACCTATTTCAAAAATAAGGTGACAGCTTTTTATTAAAATTTCTGACTCATGCATATGTAATGGCTGGAGTATGTTAATTTACTTTTTTCCCCATTTTTTAGATTACTGCCTTTCCCCAAGAAAAATATAAATAGTGTTTCTAAACTATTGCAAATATTTTGTCCCCCCAGAAAGACTGCTGGGCACTGAGCCAGTAAACAAGCATCCACTTTTACTCACATTCTACGCACATTTCCACATTGTTTATTATAAGCTATGCCCCTTCTTAAAATTTTGATTTATTTTGGTTTTCATTTACATGGAACCTTTCATATTTTATGTCTTTGAAATCTGAGGAGTTTGTTAAAAGTTCTTGATTGAAGAATTTCTCAATATTGCTTCTCGCAGATGACTTCGAGTGTTACATTTGCCCAGCCGGTCAGTGGTCCAATATAAGAAGCACCGTGTGCTCTGACCCGACCTACCTCTTCTTGCAGTGGACTGACACCTCGGTCATATTTATTCTGCTGCTTACATCTGTCCTCTTCTGCACTATCATTGGAACATTTGTTATCTTTGTGAAGAACAGACAAACTGCCCTTGTCCGGGCCTCTGGGGGCTACATGAGTTTCTTGGCTCTCTCCTCTTTACTAGCAGTTACCGCCAGCATAGTTCTTTTTATTGGCCAGCCCACTATGAATATATGTAAGATTCAACAGCCATTGCAAGCTATAGGTTTCACTTGCTGTCTTTCTACATTCTCAATCAAGGCCCTTCAAGTGATATTGGTAACAGATTTTAAATGTGTGGACGGCAAGTATATCCAATGGCTTAAAACCAAAGGGACATGGGCCTCATTGCTCCTTAGCATTCTGATTCAGTGCTTATTTTGTGTCTGGTACATTAAGAGCAATCAATTTCTGTCTCCAGATGAAAAAGTCACCTACCTTCGCAAATATCTCAAGTGTGAGATTTCCAACGTTCCAAGCTTTGCTTTAATGTTCGGATACAATGGAATTCTTGTCCTCATGTCATTCATGTTAAACTGTGTAGCCCAAGCACCTCCAGGTCAGTATAATCTGGCCAGAGATATTACGTTCTCAATGTTGGGGTATCTGCTCATTTGGATTGTCTTCGTCCCTGCCTACGCAAAACTTACAGATGGGAACCAGCCTTTGTTGCAAATGGTCGTCGCCTTGGTCAGCTCATTTGCCATTATTTTTGGTTATTTTTTTCCTAAATGTTATATTCTGATAATGAAACCAGACATGGCATCCGAGGAATATTTCAAAATATACAATAATTAATTTGTTATTACATGATGTATGTTATTGTTATTTGAAATAAAAGCAGCCTTTTTGGAAACGAAAATCGATTCTGAACTTTATTGTAAAAAAACCCCCAAAATCTGAGAACTCTAAGAACAGACAAAAGCTTACAAGAACTTAATAGCTACGCCCTTCAGGTATTCCTACCTCCAAGCTTAAAAGTATTGGCTTACTCTGTGTCAGTATTTCATTTGTCCAATTTAAGTATTTAAGGTAAGCTAGCCCTTATTATCCACATTATCTGGCTTTCACTTGTAGAGCATCATCACGTTCCAACTAATTTGTCTAGCAGTAACTGCATTTTTTGACTATTGTAATTTCCTCTTAAAGGAACACTCCAAATACCATAACCACTACATTACACTGTAGTGGGTATGGTGTCAGAAATGTCCTGTCGCCAAATTAGAGTGTGCCTAGCATGATCCAGGTACGTTTTTAAGCCATTCTTAAATGGTTTGACTACTTACTCTGGAAAAGTGCTTATTTGAGTAATGTACTTCTTTAATGTAATGATAAATGTCAACATTATCAACCTCAAGGTACTCTCCAAGCATGCAAAGGGTGTACTTGCGCAGGGCAAGACGGAAATGCTCTGCGTGTGTATATATTTCTGTACATGTGTGCAGACACGTGCATTGGTTTCCAAACAAATAAAAAAATGAACGAAAATGCTGGGGGTGGGGGGGGTTCCTCCCTTCCCTTGGGGTCCAGTGGCTGCTGGGCTGCTGACGTCATATTCCGGCTTCCTGCATCACTCTGTGGCACGCAAGGAAGCTGAGCAGAAAGCTCAGGAGAAAGTGCTCCCTCACCAGCGCCGTCTGCCCGACCGGCCGCCCGCCCGACCGGCCGCCCGCCCGACCGGCCGCCCGCCTGGCTCGTCAGTTAGCCACCAGGCTAACAAGACATTTGCCCTGGGCATTTCGGGGCGGCTTTTTTTGCCACCCCCTGTAAAATACCGCCCAAGGCAAATGCCTTGTTTGCCTCGTGGCTAATACATCCCTGAGTGTGTATAGTGAATGCATTGTATGCATGTGTATAGTGGATACAGAGAGTGTGTTTGTGTAGTGGATGCAGTGTATGTGTGGATGTAGTGTAATGCATGCCGTTTCTTTGTAGTAGATGTTGTGTAGTGGGTGCAGTGTTGGTGTTTGTGTAGTGAGTGCAGTGTCTGTGTAGTGGGTGCATTGTCTATGTTTGTGTAGTTGAAGCAGTGTAGTGTGTGCAGTGTCTGTGTAGTTGATGCAGTGTAGTGTGTGCAGTGTCTATGTATTGTGTAAAGTGTAATGGATACATGTAGTGTGTGTAGTGGATGCAGTATCTGTGTGTAGTGCATGTAGTGTGTGTAGTGAACGCAATGTCTGTGTGTAGTGCATGTAGTGGATGCAGTGTCTGTGTGTAGTGCATGTAGTGGATGCAGTGTCTGTATGTAGTGTGTGCAGTGAATGCAGTGACTGTGTGTGCGTGCGTGTAGTGGATGCAGAGTCTATGTGTAGTGCATGTAGTGTGTGTAGTGGATGCAGGGTCTGTGTGTAGTGCATGTAGTGTGTGTGTAGTAGTGGATGCAGTCTCTGTGTGTAATGCATGTAGTGTGTATAGTGGATGCAATGCTTGTGTGTAGTGCATGTAGTGTGTGTAGTGGATGCAGTGTCTGTGTAGTGCATGTAGTGTGTGTAGAAGATGCAATGTCTGTGTGTAGTGAATGTAGTGTGTGTAGTGGATGCAGTGTCTGTGTGTAGTGCATGTAGTGCATGTAGTGTGTGTAGTGGATGCAGTGTATGTGTGTAGTGCATGTAGTGTGTGTAGTGGATGCCGTGTCTGTGTGTAGTGTGTGTAGTGGATGCCGTGTCTGTGTGTAGTGCATGTAGTGTGTGTAGTGGATGTAGTGGGTGTAGTGGATGCCGTGTATGTGTGTAGTGCATGTAGTGGATACAGTGGCTTGTGAGGGGTGATTATTTATTTTTTAAATGTAAGAGTAAGTGCCCCCCCTCCCTGCCTCTTACCTGTGGTCAGGGAGTTGGGACACTAGTGTCCATGGTGGTCCAGTGACACATTTTGCTGTGTCCTGTGGAGAGGGGGCCCAGAAGTCTGATGTTTCCCTCTTGCAGCTTCCTGTCATCTTCTCTCTCGAGCCGAGTGAGCGTTGCCGTAGCAAAATGCCGCCCCTGTAAAAGTGCCGCCTGGAGCCGTGGCCCCACTGCTGCCAATGGACAGGACGGCCCTGGTTATACGGGATTTAGTATTTCTGACAAAATAATATTCCCTGTATTCTAGTTACAACTGACGTAATTCTATACACGTTGTTGTACAGATTATTGCATGCTTACTTAAAATGTTATCTGTATGGTTACCTAATTTTGCAAAATAATTGTCTTGCTTGATTATTATGTTGATGGAAATTCACCTTTCTTACCCATTTTTAAAAATATTTTCTGTTCCCCTTTTATTCTTTTGAACTGATTCCTGTGTGAAATACTGGAACAATCAGTTCAATTTAATGAAATGTCTCAAATTATTGACAAAAAGTAGCTAAGCAGTTGACTAAGCAAACCTTCAATATAGCAAGTTCAATTTGACTACGATACCAAAAAATGGCCCTATCGTGTTTCATTCTTTTTTAAATCAGTTGAATATTCCGTAACTCTGAGAAGCGTTGCTGGACATTCTCATCACAGCAGGAGAGACTTTGACTAAACACATTGATGAGGCTATGCTTTGTACATATCATCAATATTACAGAGAGAACAGCTCACATCCCGTGTTTGAGTTATACAGCTGGGACGCACAGATATACAAATGCACCAGAACAAACAGAGTCTGATTTTCATGCTCTCTCTAATCAAACGATTGTATTTGCAATGGCAAAATTCAATGCAAGGGCTTGCGTCCCTAAAGGACATGTCTTACTTTGTAGTTCTTACTGCGTTCTTATATATCAGTTATTACACAACACGGACCCTGGGGGAAAGCCACGGTAGCATTCAATCTACATTTTTTACTACACCAGGAGAATTCAAGATAGGAGGTTTATTTTCCGTTCATGAAAGAGTAAAACTCATCGAGAATAAAAGAAAGAATGAAATCTCGGTGTGTCAAAGGTAAGCGTTTGAAATTATTATTTTTTTTGCCTGCCGTAGAAATATAATATTTCATTAGCATGTCACAAACAGTTCTTATAAAATGAAAACATGGTTTTTAATTTTTTCAAAATATTATTTAATAGGATATTGTTTAATAGGATAAAAGGAATGATTTAATTTCTATGAACTGGAATAACACGTGACATTATCAAGGAAATCAAAGCAAACTGCTAGTATGTTAGCACAGAATTAGAACATTATAACTTCTTGTTTCTGACACCTTCTATCAGTATATTTAGTAGGGTTTATGTAGAACGACAAAGGGGAATTGTAAAATTTAGGCCAGAATAATGAAGGTATAAAAAGCTTCCAACTTGGCTATTTTTGACTAAAATGTGCAATTCCGTTGACAAATTTCCACATTTCCTAGTTTAGAGAAAAAAAATGGATTTTGTTAGCCTAGAAAAATAACACAAGAAAAACCCTACAGGCGTTTGCCATCACTTTGTGTGTCCTACATCTTTCTTCTGCCCTTTCCACACATCATTTGATGTTTCAGCATTTTCTTCTTCTAAAAGTATTTCTTAACGTCAGTTTTGCTGCCTTGTCTTCAGTTCCGAACTTTTTTAACCTCTGGTACTCTTTAACCTCTCTTTCCCTATCCATGCATTTCTTTCTGATACATTTTACACATTGTGTCTCATTTTATTCCTCTTTGCTACACACTATACGCATTCTCTGCCATTTTCTTCCTCTTTGACACACACTACACACTTTCTATACTTTTCTTCATCTTAGCGATGTGTTACACATTCTGTATAGCAAAAGCTGTCTTGCTGCTCAACGTTAAAAAGACTAAGATCATGGCAAACAGCAATCTCAGTTCCTGGCATAAATGGGGAAGAAGTGGAGGCAGTGACAGATTGTATTTTCCTGGGATCCAAGATCTCTTCAGATGTTGACTGTAGTCATGAAATTAAAAGACGTTTGCTTCTGGGGAGGAAAGCTATGGCAAGCTTGGACAAGCTGGTAAAAACTAAAGATATTACACTATCAACAAAGGTCCGCATAGTCAGAACTATGGTATTCCCAGTAGTAACATACGGATGTGAGAGCTGGACTACAAAGAAGGCTGAGCGTCGTAGAATTTATGCCTTTGAACTGTGGTGTTGGTGAAAACTGCTTAGAATTCCTTGGATTGCAAGAAAATCCAATAAATCTGTACTACAGGAAATAAAGACAAACTGTTCACTGGAAGCTATGATCATGAGGCTGAAGCTCAAATATTTTGGCCATATAATGAGAAGGCAGGATTCTCTAGAGAAGACTCTGATGCTGGGAAAGATTGAAGGCACATGAAGAAGGGGACGACAGAGACGGAGATGGATAGATGAGGTCACTGAAGCCACAAACATTAATTTGTTGGAGCTCAGAGGGGCAGTGATTGACAGATGTACCTGGCATGCTATGGTCCATATGGTCACGGAAAGTCGGACATGACTGAACGACTATACAACAACTTCCTTTCTCTACGCTTTTCTTCTTCTTTCCCATATGCTATATCATTCTCTGTCCTTGTCTTCCTCTTTGCTACTAACTACATGCTTTCTTGTTTTATCTACTTTACACACCTTCTTTAACACCTGTTTCTCTCTGTAATCAGCTCTAGACTTTATTTCTTTTCAGTTGAACTCTACAAATGCTACTCTCCTTGTCTACATCTTTCATACTTTTTCCTTACTTTACTCTCTGTCTATATTACTTTCAGGAAAAGGTCCTTGCCCTGCTTCCCTTTCTGCTACATATTGCACTTTTCTTGCCATTCTTTTTTTTTTTTTATATATTTTTTTATTGAGTTTCCAAGTCAAAAAAGTACAATAATGGAGTACAGTATTACAAGAGTAGCAAATTAACACAAAATATGTATCGGTTGACATTGTGACAATGTGACATATATAAAAGGAATGATAGAAAGAGGATTAAACATAATAAAAACACTTTGTGGTTTCACAATTATTATATTGGAATTACTAAAATGCACAATGCAAGGAAGACTAAATGTAGTTACTATAGTTTTCACGTTTGGACAAGGGTTCATACGTTTTTTCAGTATTGTATTGCTTTTAAGGGTGCCGTTTGCCAAGGTGTGAAGTAAAGAGGTACCTTAATAATTAAACTTTCAAATTGTAACCATTGTTTACATATATCTGTTCTAGATCACATAGAGATGTGAGATGGCATTACTACTATATGGTAAGGATACAAATTAGGCAGTTTAAAGTCCCCCTTTTTTCTTGCACTACAATGGGTGGAATAGCTGTGGTGTGGCTGTTTATTTGCCCATATACATTTAGTAATGTAATATTTTACAATGAATACATCATGTATCGCTGTGATATAAGATGTATTTAATGCATTTGGGGTGATGTTAAAGTGGCTTCTTTCAGAAATTTTGGGTCCCCTTAGCTCAAGGCCTGGGCCCCCAGTGGTAGCCCTGGAGTCTGAACCACAAGGCCCACCCATGAGTCCACCTACAGGGGTCACCCATTTGTTTGTTTACAGGGAGTTGACTTGTGTTTTATTATAGAGGATGCAATGTATGTGTGCTTATGGAATGTAGTGTGTAGGGATATCAGTTTGTGTAGGGGATGTAGGGTAGTGCGTGTATAGGGGATGCAGTATGTGTCTGTGTAAGGGAGTAAGTGTGTGCATATACTGGATGCAGTGTGTATATGAACAGGGGATGCAGTGTGTGTCTGTGTAAGGGAGTAAATGTGTGCATTTTCTGGATGCAGTATGTGTCTGTGTAAGGTATAGAAAGTAGTGTGTGTGTTTGTGCATAAGGGAAGTATTGTGTGTCTGAGTGTATGTGTAAGAGATGCATTATAGGCCTCTTTGTGTGTGAGTTATGCAGTGTGTGTGTGTGTTTAAGGGATGCAGATTTTGGGTAAGGAACGCAGGGTGTGTGTAATGCATTGCATGTATGTGTGTGTGTGTGTGAGGTGGTTATGTTTGTGTGTGTCTGTGTGTGTACGAGATGCATCGTGTTTCTGTATGTGTAAGAGATGCAGTGTGTTTCTGTGTGTGTGTGTCACGTATTCATCCGCTTATAGAAATGTGGTTAATGACATTTACTGTCCACACAGGAAAAGTTGTGCCGAACAGCAACCTAATCCACAGAAGGGTTAATGCTGAGCAGCAATTATGCAAATGAAACCTGGTAACAGACTTTGGGGTCAAAGGCCGGTTACAGCCTATCAGAACTAAAGGAGGGGTATTTAGGCCCAGTTCTCAGCCTGCTCAGTGCCCTGTCGTGGTTTCCCTTGTGGTTGTCTGAGAGCGCGTTCCTGTTTATAGTTTTCTACCTGGTTTTTGACTTTGGCTTTGTTTATTGACTTCTCTATATTCTGGTATCCTGACTCCTGGCTTTCCTCATCGCTGTGTCCCTTTCTGTGTTCCCTGACCTCGGCTAGTATTTTGACTATTCTTTGTACGTTAAATCCGGCCATTCTAAGGACCGGTAATACGTTACTTATTTGTCATCCATGCTGTACAGTTCTACGTGCTGGATCAAACAGTAATCCTGACAGTGTGTGTGTGTAAGTAATACACTGTGTGCTTCTGTGTATGTGTGTAAGGGATGCATTGCTTGAGTGAAAGGGATGCATTGTATGTGTGTGTGTAACAGATATATAACAGATATGGTGTGTATATGGGATGCATTCTGTTTCTGTGTGTGTGTGTGTGTGTGTGTGTGTGTGTGTGTGTGTGTGTGTAAAGGATGCATTGTATGTGTGTAAGTGATGGATTGTGTGTTTTCTGTGTATGTGTGTAAGGGATGCACTGTGCGTGTAAGGGATGCATTGTGTGTGTGTCTGTGTGTGTTATGGATGCATTGTGTGTTTGTGTATGTGTGTGGTGTGAGAGAATGTTTGTGGGGGTAGGATGGGGGGCTAAGAGGGGTGCAGCTTTTTATTTTTGTTACTATATTTATTTAGTAGAAAGCCCCCTAAAAAGTGAACTATATAAAAGTAAATACATTAATTATTTTTGGCAAAAATGTCCAAACTGGAGAGTTATCCAATTCCAATATGTGTGCAGGTTAACTATTGTCGCCTAAAAAATTAGATTCCCTGGTCATCTCCCAACTAGTCACAGTTTAGTGAATAACCTTGCCTTTCTCTCTCATTCTTTTTTTCTCTCTAGCGTTAATCTATATGAATTTACTGGGCTACTTGCCATGAAATTTGCCGTGGATGAAATAAATAACTCCAGCAGTCTCCTGCCTTGCACCAGACTTGGATATGAGATTTATGATATCTGTAGCACTCCCGTGGTGGCCGTACAAGGAGCTTTGAGGTTTTTGAGTGAAAGAAATGGGTCAACGCTTCAAGTTCTTTGCAATTATATGAATTACAGTACACGGGTAATTGCTGTTATTGGCCCGTCAACCTCAGAGATGGTTGTGTCTACTGGAAAGTTGTTTAGCTACTTCTATCTCCCTCAGGTATTGCATGATATTAATTTACATTAATCATACCTCATTTTTTAAATTATAAACCTACAACATGCCCTGTCTTGCTGTAATTGTATTTAGACAAAATAAATAAGATGAAGGAAAGCGAACAGGTCAGCGCTATCGCACCACAAAAAACTAAAGAGAGATTGTCTCTCTGTATGTAAAACACCAGGAGTAATAAATAAACATATGTTTACTCACATTTTGTACAGCAGGCAAACTGCTCAATGAATAATGTGTGAGTTGTATGATACCCAACTGGGATTCTTTTGAGAAGTCCTCTCTGAAACAGATTAACATTAAATGCGAGGCAGTAAAAATAATATAATGCCACAATAGCAGCACTATTAAAGGAATGTGCCACATTTGCACTTTAAAGTAGCCAAAATACTTTTATTAAATTAATGTGAAATATCCCCAACGTGTTTCACCACACAGGGCTTTATCAAGTGGAGACAAACATATGGCCTGGCAGGCAAGACTTTTAATAGGAAAAAACAAACATGACCGTTTCAAAAGTGGCACCAAAATGACGTCATAAACATGTGACACCATTAGGAAATTTTAGTTTGTATAAAAGACAAATATATATATATAAAAGCGGATCAGGTGTCGCGCGACCTCGATGCGGGGTGACGTGACCTCAAAAAAATGCAAAAACCTGTTATGGAGTCAAATATGTCAAACTTAAATGTATGGGTACATAATTTATTACTGATATCTATTTTTTTCAGATAAGCTTTGAGGTTTCTAGTGAAAAATTCAATGACAAGGCCACATTCCGGTCATTTTTCCGAACTGTCCCAAGTGACTTCCTTTTTGCTAAAGGGATCGTCAAGCTCATGAAGGAATTCCAGTGGAACTGGATAGCATTAGTGGGAAGCAGTGATGATTATGGAATTCAAGGAACTTTAGAATTTGCAAACCAAGCATTCAAGAATAGTATCTGCATCGCCTACCAAGCATATATTCCTAAGGACACAAATGATTCTGCTATCAATAGATCACTGCATGAAATTATTTTAGGAATAAAACAGAGTAAAGTTAATGTCACTGTGATGATCACTTCTCTACATGAAACTCAAATTTTTCTAAATAATGCAATAGAATGCCAATTGAAAATGGTTTGGATTGCCAGCACCAGTTGGTCTCTCTCACAAACCATTCAACAGCTGCCTGGAATTCAGAATATTGGCACATTCATTGGCTTTGCTGTAAAGAGTAACATTTTACCAGGATTTGATGACTATGTCCACAACCAGTTATCCTTGATACAACAAGGGAGCCTTCTTCGGAATGCCACGTCACCCAAGCAAAACATTGGCCAACAAGTTCTGTCTGAGGTCCCAGATCTACAGGAAAAATGCAATTTATTGTCTCCAGAAAATATCACGGAGATATTAGCTGCTGATTCATTAAATCTTGCTTACAGGGTTTATGTTGCGGTATATTCAATAGGCAATGCTCTGCACTATATTCTGAATGGTTCTGATTCTAACTGCTCTAATAGTGCATCTAAAATATTTCCACATCAAGTAAGTATCCATTTATCTATGGACTTCAGGCTATACGTAGTTTTCTTTTTTCAAAGAAAACTAGGTATGACTGATTAACTTGTACAATCTGATACATTGCTACTAAATCTGCATGTTTTTTTTTTATTTGTAAAAAAGTTTTAACAAATAATTTTGACACAAAGTACAAAAAACTCAATAACAAACAATTTTTTCCCCTTTTTTCACAATAATACTAGATTGACACATAATACATACAATACAATATTCAACCTATCTTTTCCCAATAAAGTATTATACTGTTAATACAGTGTACGGGTTAAAAACTAAGACACAACCTCCGTCTCTGCGAGTGGTCCTCTTCCCCTCTCCAATTTCCCCATTTTGTCCTACAATCGTCATGGTCTCCAACTCCCCACATTGGTCACCATTTATCCCCATAACGGAGGGGAGATCAGATTTTACGGTTTCCCCATCTTCTATCCTACTCGTGAGTACACTATATTTACCTGAGGGGTGAGGCGTTATAAGGAGAACCGTGGAAAAATATCCGGGGTCAAGAGGACAACCCCCTTAAATGCAATAAATGCCCATACATTTACAACCATGCGCATACCACATTCGTTGTTCCGAGATTCTGTGGGAAGGGGAGCCGACGAAGGAAAGGAATCTATGAGGAGTTTTGCCCACGGGTCAAACAATAGTCATCCCAAAGTGCCCATCTATACTTTAAAACGTTAAAAACACCTAAGTGTTCATCCTCTCTTTCTAGTGTTCTATTTCTCTGCATGACACTCTCCACCTCTGACCACTTTGGCAACCTTTCTCCTTTCCAGTTAACTGCAATCAACCATTTCGCTATGGATAAAATATGTAGCAAAAGAGATTTTAGTTCTTTTGTGAAATGATTAGGAAATAAATGAAAGAGAATCAGTTCTGGAGTAAGCTTAATGCTTTCCCCTAAAATTCGAGATGTCCCAAGTTGTACCTCCTTCCAATAAGTTTAAATGTGGGGACAAAGCCACCACATATGTATTGCTGAGCCAATTTGATTACAGTTTCTCCAGCACATTTTATATGAATCAATTCTCTTTGTTTTCCAAAGCTTAATCGGCGTTACATACCATATATGTAAGATTTTAAAACACGTCTCCCTATAAGAGACATATTTAATTAATTTATCTGTTAGTATGAAAGCTCCCGAAATTTCCATGGGCCAAGATTGATTAAGTTCTTCTTCCCAAATTCTTATATTTGAAGATTTAGTATCCAAATTCCTGTCTCTCAAAAGGCTAAAACATTTTAATAACAAGTGCTTTTTGTTTGTTGAACATATTATGTTTTCACAAGTTGTCAATCATCTAATCTCCTTTAAATGATAACTAAATGATGAGATCCTAGATTTCAATGTATTATATTCCAACCACCAGCCAGTTGGAATTTTAAAATTGGAGTGCAAATAATCAAATGAAAGGAATTTATTGTTAACATACAAATCCCTTAGATATCTACATCCCAATTTTGATAGCAAATCAAGCAAAGGAGAATGAATCTTTTCCTGAAGCCATGAGATAAGTGTGATCGGGCTTGGGAATGGAACCAGGGAGTATTTATGATTCAGATTCAACCAGCTTTTAAGACTATATCATACTATTGAGGCTTTGCTATACACTAGACCACTGGATAGTTCATCTCGAAATAGGATTGAGTTCAGATGCGTTTGTTTAAAAAACCAACTTCTATCGATGCCCAATTATAATTTTTTCCCTCTTCCTCCCATCTCAGCATATGTGATATTTCTTAATGTCAGGGTATGCTATCCCCCCAATTTTTTTTAACCATGATAGGTTTCTTAATTTGCATTCTTTTATTCTGGTGGATAAATACATCAATTCCCCTGTGTAACTTATTGAGCAAATATATGGGACACTGCCAGGTTATACAGCGCATGACATAAGTAATCTTAGGTAATATTGTCATCTTAATCGCTGCTATTCTTCCTGACCAAGAAATATTAAGATTTTTCCAAGTGGCCAGAACTTCCATTATATTAGAATAAATGATTTGGTAATTGACTGTCATTGTTCTTTTCATTTCAGAGAACAGTTTTATACCTAGGTGAGTTATTGAGTGTTGCCAATTAAATGGATATAATCGTGTTAGAGAGTTTTTCTCAAACTGTCCCATATTAAAAGTCACAGCTTCAGATTTCTTTACATTTAATTTATAATTGGAAATTTCACCGTAATCTACTATAATTTCTTGAAGAGATTTTAGGGATTTTTCCGGTTTTTCTATCGTAATTATTACATCATCCGCATAAAGGGAGATTGCATGAAACTTTTGATTTACTTCGAACCCCGTTATATCTACAGATTCCCTTATTGTAGTCGCCAGTGGTTCTATAATTAAAGCAAAGACTAATGGGGATAATGGACAACCTTGCCTAGTGCCATTTGAAATGACAAACTTTCCTGAGCGAAAGTTTTGGCCGATCACGCAAGCAGTTGGGGAAATGTATAAAGCGGCTATTGCCTTAGAGGCAAATTCACCTAAGCCATATCTGGACAGGGTGATGAACATAAAGTCCCAATCTACCCTAAATCTGCATGTTGATGCAACCTAAAAAAGTGTTATGTTGACTTAAAATTGACAAACCATGGGCTCAGGTGTATCCCTAAATGTACAGTAAAACTGAAAGTTAATTAAGAGTGGTCAGGACCTCTCTGTAGTAACTGACTTATTTAACTATGGCCCATAGCACATATTCACATGTAAAATTTATACCCCAACTGTGCCAGGTGCCTTGCTGACCTTTTCTGAGATACCCATCATAAAGCACGGGCTCCATGGTTTTAGAAAGTGGTACCTGACTATATCTCTCTGACCCGATGGAATGAAAGTTTGCATTTTATGTTAACATTGTTTCGGTCCGATAGCTCTTGTTACATGTAAAACTTTGCTGCTATACTACTTGTGTTACATCCTCAATTGTATTTTATGTGCAGCAATAAATAAAGAATTTTTAAAAAAATGGCAAACCATGGAAATGATATGGTGAAAATATGTAGCTGTTTATTGACATTTAAATGGGCCTGCCAAATAACAGGTTTCACGCTTTGCTGGAATTGATTTTTATTTAACATTGAATCAATATATATATATATATATTAGGGGCATAGTAACACTATTGCTCTAATTTTCTCTGTCACTTTGTCACCACCCTAAAGTTAGCAGTGCCTCACAGTTCTTTAAAATAAAAAGATCTAACCATTTTTTCCGAAACTAGCCTGGGACAGTGATTATCAATATTCATTAGCAGGTGATTTTCTGAGGGAGAGGGGTGGATGGCAGGAGCTGGTGTCCTGAATGTGGTTCTAAAACTCCCTGTGTCTAATTATGGCACCATTCCATAAGCTCCCAAATCCCCAGTCATACTGAGAGAGAAATAATGCCTCCAATTATATAATTTGTAACATTCCCACTTTAATGCATTATATGCGAGTGTAAGGTTTTAATGTAGTCATTAATATACCATGGCTTGGAGTTAAAGAGACACTCCACAGCCCAAACACAAATTTTTTAAAAAAAATATCTTGGTTTAGTATAGATACTCCCAATTAAAACTTGCATGCATTTAATTATGCATTTTTTTATTGGGGATATATCTAAAAACAGCTTGCAAAAACAGTATATCTCTTGACTGGAGACTTTGCAAGCTCTCCCCTTCTAACCCCCTCCCCCCAGACTTTCTATGGCTGTCCAATCACAGACTTCCCAATGCTTTAGATTTATTTTAAAGCATTTTTTGGGAAAGTAGGATTGGCCATAATTAAAGAAAATTAAATGAACACTATAGGGTCAGGAACACAAGCATGTATTCCTGACCCTATAGTGTTTAACCAACAATTTAGGTGGCTTGACCCCCCCTTAGCTCTCTTAAAAGCAATTAGAACTCACCTTATTTCCAGCGGCGCGCTGGTCCGCCGACACTAGCTCTGCCCCTTGGTGAAATGATCCGAATTGCCCATTTTTAGCCTATGCTATGCTTTTCCACAAGGTAGGAACTATGCAGCATTGAGCCAGGAAGCACCTCCAGTGGCCATCTGAGGAGTGGCCACTTGGAGTTGTCCCTAGGGGCAATGTAAAAATGCCTAAAGGGAATGGTTATATTTACCAGAACACCTACATTAAGCTGTAGTTGTTCTGGTTACTATGGTGTCCCTTTAAAAGTTAAATTTCAGATGATATACAGTAGATAGAATGAGAACAGAAGGGATGTTTAGTGTAGAGATAATATGGTTCTGTATCTCCCAAGCGTCCTCCTCCTGTTGGTACAATAGTTGAAATTAATAATTTGGTACAGTAGTTCCTACTTTGTAGACGAGTGGTTGGCAGTTTGATGATATAATAAACAGATTAACCTTATATAGATATTTATGTCCCTTTAGCTTCTAAAGAAAATACAGACTCAGAGCTTCAATTTGAACGGTGAGTCTTTCAGCTTTGACCCGTATGGAAATCCAAATACTGGCTATGATATCGTGACTTGGAGATTCAGTGGAAGAAGCTCTTTTCTTATTGTAGGAGACTTCCAACAGCAGCTCAACATCAGAAGGTCGATGATTGGATGGTATAGCACTAAGGTAATGGTTTTTCACAAAGTAAGGAACACCTTCTTCAAAATGGTTCAAAAATGACAAATCTATTAATTTGCATGCATTCCCCATAAATAGTTATAAACAGTATGGTTAATTTCAAACCAAACTAATTTTTCTAACAGAATTTGGAATGACAAGCTTTTTTTTAAGTCTAAAGCTACTCTGATTATTTGACATCTTCATCACTGGATTAATATGACTATATCAATGGACACTCATAGTAGCTACATAAACACTACAGCCCATTGTAGTTGTTATGGAACCAGGAATCCCTTGGCACCATCCATAGCATCAGTTCCAAACTATTTGTGAATATTTTGCCACTTACCTGATTTACTTGGGGTCCGTGTGCCTGCCTTCTTAATACAGCTAAAGTGGAAGTTCTCATGCTTTAGCTACATCAAGAGGATTGAAGAGACTTTGGGTGCCGAGAAAAAGTCAAAATCCTACTAGGGTATGGAGCCAGGGGACTTCTGGGACCATACTTCAGACTGTAGTCATGATTGTGCTTAAAATGCCCCTTAAATAGACATACTATGTAAGTAGATGCATAGATACACGATTGATACATGAAGTGACCATTCACAGATAACCCATGAAAATATAAATTTAATCCAGTTAAATTTAAAGTTTGCTGAAGAAATAAATGAAAGGACTTTTAAGGCACATACATTTTGTTTCATAAACAACCATATTGTATATATAAATACTAAACGTATGCATTTGATTCCAACAATTGGCAATTCATCCACATTTTGGACAATTGGCAGGTTGTTCGAATAGTGTAACACCGATATGCCACGTATGCTTGTTTGCTTTGTGATTCAGTGTTACATTCATGGCAACCAAGATAAAGATGATTAATGGTTAGTATACTAAATCATATCAAATAAATACATAATGAAATAAAACAGGGATCCGCCTCACCGAATGCTTAAAAACACACATCTGAATGTTCAAAAATAACCGAACGCTCAAAATCATGTATATTGACAGAAAGTGCACTGAATTTGAATGTTAATATTAGTTTCATTAAAAGGGTGCAAAAACAAGCCTATCACTATACTGTAAAATATAAACATATCATTATTACGTACATATTGTACTGTATAGTAATAGGCAAATTTCTTTGTGCGTTTTTGTCAGTTTTTTCCTTAATCGTTTGCTTGAACATCATACAGCGTTAGCGCAATTTGGCAGATCAAATACATTTTTTTCTTCTGACAAAATTATTTGGTCCAACCAATTTTTTCTGCTGTGAGTAAGTCTAGTAAATACTATTTTATATTTTTAACAAGACACTACTGTATTTCACTTTCTCCACAAGAGGGCGATACACTTCAAAATATTGGATTTTTTATTTATTTTTTGCATTTTTCTTGTTTTGTAAGTTCAGATCGACATTATCAATATTTATTAATATTTTATTTCAAATGCAAATATTATTTATATATGGTCAGCAGAGATATTGAGGTTCCTGCTTGGAAGAGATCACAATCTAATATGTGAACATCTGAATGTGACCATTTGTCCAACAGGAAATTCCAACTATGTTTATTTGTCAATCAGACCATAGATGAGATTACTAGAAGTTTCTATTGACAGGAGTACTCGTGGCAAATCTATGATACACAGAAACATGTCAAGTGATACAAACAAGGTACACCTCTTTTTGGGAGGGTTGTGTTTATAAGAAAATGCTACAGTGAATAAATATCAGCAGCTCTATACACTTGTGTGAAATACCCTCTCATCCACACCAAAAATTTACAATCTATAAAGTGGTACTAGCAATACACTTACACCTGAAGTGGAGAGCTAAAATATAGTATGTGAATGGTATAAACGTACCCTACATTACCAAATAAAATCTTTGACTTGTGGTACATATAAAAGATAAAAATAAATACAATATAGTGCAGATGGTATAGCACAATCTGATAAAATATGCCAGAGAAAAAGGAACAATCACATTTAACCCCTTAACGCCATTACAGCATTCTATGCTGTCCTGCATTAAATGGGCTTTAACCCCTTAAGGACACATGCCATGTGTGACATGTCATGATTCCCTTTTATTCCAGAAGTTTGGACCTTAAGGGGTTAAAGCCGTTGTAGCGGCATAGAACGCCGTAATGGCTTTCAGCCCCAGGAGCTAGGAGGTACTTACCTCTGCCGCGATCCTCTTTGGGAGGACTGCCTGACAACCCAGACAGCCCTCCCCCGGCAAATCAGGCCCCCGGGGGCCATGTGATCGCTCTCAAAGAGTGATCACATGGCCCCCTATAGCTGGCTGTGGATCTGCCAGCAGGGGGACTGTCTGGGCTGTCAGACAGTCCCCCTGCTGGTGGGAAGAAGTTCTTGTTTGTGGCTACTACAAAAGACTGGACATACCCCACTTGCAATACCTTGGGTAGTCTACTTTTGCAAATGGTATGCCATCATGGGGGTAAATCTTATTCCTGGGCTATCACACGGTCTCAAAGGTAACGTTACTAATCTGGCAAATTTCAATGTGAAAAAACAAAAAAATTTGCTATATTTGACCCTTTAACTTTTCAAAACACCGTAAAAACTGTTAATGGGGGCTACTGTTGTAATCGTGAGACTTTGCTGAATCCAAATATGTGGGGGTTTTTTTGCAGTAAAAGCTAACAGTATTATGACATTTACAGTTAAAATGTGAGGCGGAACCACAAATTTTGAAAACATTTTTACATTTCTCACAGTTTTTTTTATTTTATTCACAATAAATTATGTTTCATATATAAATATTTGATATGAAATGAAAGCCCCATAGCTCTTGAACAAACTGATATATTATAAGTGTGGGTGCACTTAATATGAAAGAGGTGAATTATGGTTGAACAGACATATAGCACAAATTCCAGTTTTTGTTTACATTTTGTTTTGATCAGAACGTGTACTATTGACTCCGTCCTGAAGGGGTTAAAGGAGCCCTTTATGTGAATATTGGCTCCGTAACTGGGCTTTTATGCTTTTAGGGCAGCATCACACCTCTCGTTCACTTTGTAGTTCTCTCAAAGAAAATACAAAGAATGGAAGAGAACCAATGTGCAGTCTGTCAGTTCTAACAGATAAAAAGGTGAAAAAGGTATAGTGCTCACCTTTTTCACAGCCTTACAATCCTGGCTCTGAGGTATAGTAGTGTTGTGCCAATTTTGTGGGGGTGGCACAACCCCTGTGAAGATTCAGGAGGCTCCAAGGACTTTAAAATGTATATTTAAATTTATTTTTCAATTTAATATAAAACATATAAATAAAAAATAAAAATAACAATAAAATATAAAAGTCCTGAATGGCCAAAACGCTTTTTACTCCCATAGAGCTTCTTCAGTTGGTTGTGAGTGTGGTCCTTGGAATCTTGGGTCACATGTCTTGATAATTGTCCAATACTGAAGTGTTTCAGGTTCCTTTAATTGTCCCTATGTTACCTGCAGCTGTGGTGTTCTGCAGGTGTAATGTCCGAATTTGGCGCCTTTTGTGTAACTAAATTTCATTGGTGGTTGGTGGTGGTTGGCGGAAATGACTTTGTATGCCTTTCGTGGTTGGCAGAAGTTACGTCACAGGTAGCCGTGAACGTCACCTGGGCGGTGATAGGTATACATAAACATACTGACTGAAGCAGGCTAACACACATTCTCTGACATACCTTACCTTCATTGCTGTTCATTCCCTGCGCCTGGATGCCCTTTCTCTGCACATTTCCTCCTTTCTCTGCACATTATGCTCTCACCCCATGGGTGTAGGAACCCCAAAAAATCTGGGGGGCATAGCATTTTTACTCGCCGGGTATATTCTTATTCCGTAAACTATGAGTTGTTTATCCCATTGCACAGCGCTAAGGAATTTGCAGTTGCCAAATAAATGATTAAATAATAACTTTAAAGGGTCACTACAGGGAAGGGATTTTACTTACCTGGATACAGCGCCTGGATCCTCCTGATGCTGCGCCCCCTATTTGGTCAAAATAACGAAATAGGAGGGTGCGAGCAGGGAGCAATAAAACGCTTCTATTCAGAAGCGTCATTGCTCTCTGGTGCGCATGCGCAGCTTTGCCACACTTGCGCAGATACTTCATAGGGCAGCATTCATGTCTCGACTAGGAAGCACCTCTAGTGGCCATCTGAGTGTCCACTGGAGGTATTCCTCATCACTAATGTAAATACTGCCTTTTTACAAAATGGCTGTGTTTACATTAAAAAGCCTGCAAAGACATGCTATAGACACCAGAACTACTACATTGAGGTCCCTTGAATATAGAGAGGAAAAAAGAATCATCACAAATGTAAGAAATAAATTGTCTGTATCATTATTCTAAAAATTCCTAGCTTAATTTTTAGCACGACATACAGGGAGTGCAGAATTATTAGGCAAGTTGTATTTTTGAGGATTAATTTTATTATTGAACAACAACCATGTTCTCAATGAACCCAAAAAACTCATTAATATCAAAGCTGAATATTTTTGGAAGTAGTTTTTAGTTTGTTTTTAGTTATAGCTATGTTAGGGGGATATCTGTGTGTGCAGGTGACTATTACTGTGCATAATTATTAGGCAACTTAACAAAAAACAAATATATACCCATTTCAATTATTTATTATTACCAGTGAAACCAATATAACATCTCAACATTCACAAATATACATTTCTGACATTCAAAAACAAAACAAAAACAAATCAGTGACCAATATAGCCACCTTTCTTTGCAAGGACACTCAAAAGCCTGCCATCCATGGATTCTGTCAGTGTTTTGATCTGTTCACCATCAACATTGCGTGCAGCAGCAACCACAGCCTCCCAGACACTGTTCAGAGAGGTGTACTGTTTTCCCTCCTTGTAAATCTCACATTTGATGATGGACCACAGGTTCTCAATGGGGTTCAGATCAGGTGAACAAGGAGGCCATGTCATTAGATTTTCTTCTTTTATACCCTTTCTTGCCAGCCACGCTGTGGAGTACTTGGACGCGTGTGATGGAGCATTGTCCTGCATGAAAATCATGTTTTTATTGAAGGATGCAGACTTCTTCCTGTACCACTGCTTGAAGAAGGTGTCTTCCAGGAACTGGCAGTAGGACTGGGAGTTGAGCTTGACTCCATCCTCAACCCGAAAAGGCCCCACAAGCTCATCTTTGATGATACCAGCCCAAACCAGTACTCCACCTCCACCTTGCTGGCGTCTGAGTCGGACTGGAGCTCTCTGCCCTTTACCAATCCAGCCACGGGCCCATCCATCTGGCCCATCAAGACTCACTCTCATTTCATCAGTCCATAAAACCTTAGAAAAATCAGTCTTGAGATATTTCTTGGCCCAGTCTTGACGTTTCAGCTTGTGTGTCTTGTTCAGTGGTGGTCGTCTTTCAGCCTTTCTTTCCTTGGCCATGTCTCTGAGTATTGCACACCTTGTGCTTTTGGGCACTCCAGTGATGTTGCAGCTCTGAAATATGGCCAAACTGGTGGCAAGTGGCATCGTGGCAGCTGCACGCTTGACTTTTCTCAGTTCATGGGCAGTTATTTTGCGCCTTGGTTTTTCCACACGCTTCTTGCGACCCTGTTGACTATTTTGAATGAAACGCTTGATTGTTCGATGATCACGCTTCAGAAGCTTTGCAATTTTAAGAGTGCTGCATCCCTCTGCAAGATATCTCACTATTTTTGACTTTTCTGAGCCTGTCAAGTCCTTCTTTTGACCCATTTTGCCAAAGGAAAGGAAGTTGCCTAATAATTATGCACACCTGATATAGGGTGTTGATGTCATTAGACCACACCCCTTCTCATTACAGAGATGCACATCACCTAATATGCTTAATTGGTAGTAGGCTTTCGAGCCTATACAGCTTGGAGTAAGACAACATGCATAAAGAGGATGATGTGGTCAAAATACTCATTTGCCTAATAATTCTGCACTCCCTGTATGACACAAACATTTTGTACTTTGCAGATTACTTTTTATATTTTTTTATACATATACAGATTGTGTAATACTGCCCCTGACTTAGGGTGACCACATTTCCTAACTGCCATTCAGTGACACTTTCAGAAATGCATTCCATACATTTTACTACCCGTCTCTACCCCTTCCATTTATATTAGAACCCCTTTCCATGTAAATTAGAAATTAGTGCCACGAATAATATGCTAGATTGCCTATTTACAACCAGATGAGGATGATGATGGGCTCTAGCTGCAGTCTGGCTCCACTGGTCTGGTGTAGAACAGGCTCTCTGGAGGCTGTTTGTAACTGTGGTCACAAAAATCAATGTTCTGGGAGAACAGGAAGCAGCTCCATTTTCTGGGGGCCCTGTACACAGCTCAAGGTCTGGGTCCCAGGGTCCACCTTCATGTTCCACCAATGAGTTTGTTCACAGGGGGTGGAGTGTGTAGGGGATGTCCTGATATGTGTGTAAGGAATGCATTGTGTGAATCTGTGTTTGTATGTGTAAGGGCTGCAAGGTGTGTTTCTGTGTATGTATGGGATGCAGTGTGTGTGTCTGTAGGGGGTGCATTGAGTGTGTGTACGGGGTGTATTTAGTGTGTGTAAGGAATGCATTGTGTGTTTCTGTGTGTGTAAGGTTTGCATGATTGTGCGATTGTGTGTGTGTGTGTGATGGATGTCAATCTCTCTCCCTCCCTTGTCACTCTCTTTCTCCTCCTCCCTCCCTTGTCACTCTCTTTCTCCGCCTCCCTTGTCAGAGCGCTCGGGCGGCTGCAGCATGGGGGGGGCGGCGGAGCCTGGGGGGGATTTCCCCATAACCTGTCCCCCCTGCATGATTTGCTGGGGGGGATGCATCTCCCCCATCCCCCCCGGTTCCTACGCCCATGTCTCTTCCACTTCTCCCACGTACAGGGAATGGGCGGGAGCAAGGAATTGAAATGCAATTCATGTCTGGGAGGGGGGCCTGGCTGAGCGGGCTGATCTGTATGCTGCCGGACCAGTGTTCTACCGGGTACTAGTGAGCAATGTAAGTGCTTCCGAGCGCCCGGTAAAATGGCTGGCAGCATGCTCACAATAATCTAACTTGTCAGGGCCGGCGCCCCCCCTTAAGCAGCGCCCTAGGCGGCCGCCTAGTTTGCCTATAGGGAGCGCTGGCTTGGCACTGTGCCTGCCTGTCTGTCAGTATTTCTGTCAGTGTGTCAGTATGTCTGTGTGTATGTCTGACAGTGTATGTGTGTTTCAGTATGTCTGTGTGTGTCAGTATGTCTGTCTGTCAGTGTGTCAATGTGTGTCAGTTTGTTTGCTTGTATGTATGTGTGCCAGTATGTCTGTGTGTGTGCCAGTATGTCTGTGTGTGTGTGTGTGTGCCAGTATTTCTGTCTGTGCATGTGTATGTGTGTGCCAGTATGTCTGTGTGTATGTGTGCCAATATGTCTGTCTGTGTGTGTGCCAATATGTTTTTCTGTCAGTATGTCTGTCAGTGTGTCTATGTGTGTGTCAGTATGTCTGTCTGTGTGTCTGAGTGTGTGTGTCACTGTGCTTGTCTATGTGTCAGTATGCCTGTCAGTGTGTCAGTATGTCAATGTGTATGTCTGTCAGTGTACGTGTGTGTCAGTATGTCTGTCTGTCAGTGTGTCTATGTGTGTCAGTATGTCTCAAAGTGTGTATGTGTGCCAATCTGTCAGTGTGTGCCATTATGTCTGTGTGTGTGTGCCAGTATGCCTGTCTTGTGTGTGTATGTGTGTGCCATTATGTTTGTGTGTTTGTGTGCCAGTATGTCTGTCTGTGTTTGTCTGTCAGTATGTTTGTCAGTGTGTCTATGTGTATGTCAGTATATCTGTCTGTGTGTTTACCAGTATGTCTGTCTGTTAGAATGTCTGTCAGTGTGTCTATGCATGTGTCAGTATGTCTGTCTGTGTGTTTGTGTGTCAGCATGCTTGTCTGTGTGTATGTGTGCCAGTATCTCTGTGCATGTGCCAGTATGTTTTTCTGTACGTGTGTATGTGTGTGCCAGTATGTATGTGTGTATGTGTGCCAGTATGTATGTGTGCCAGTATGCCTGTCTGTGTGTGTGCCAGTATGTCTGTCTGTGTGTGCCACTATGTCTGTCTGTGTGTGTGCCAGTATGTCTGTCTGTGCTAGTGTATGTGTGTGCCAGTATGTCTGTGTGTATGTGTGCCAGTATGTCTGTCTCTGTGCGTGCCAGTATGTCTGTCAGTGTGTCTATGTGTATGCCACTATATCTTTGTGTGTGAGTGTGTGTGTGTGCCATTATGTCTGTGTGTGTGTGTGTGTGTGTGCCAGTATGTCTGTCTGTGCGTGTGTATGTGTGTTTCAGTATATCTGTGTGTTTCCTAATGTCTGTGTATGTGTGTTTCAGTATGTCTGTGTGTCAGTATGTATGTGTGTGTCTGTGTGGGTGTGTGTGTGTCAGTGTATGTGTCTCTATGTGTCAGAATGTCTGTCAGTACATGTCTGTGCATCTGTATTTGTCAGTTTGTGTATCTGTATGTTGTCAGTGCGTGTATGTGTCAGTGTGTATATATGTGTGTGTATACGTATATAGTCATTGTGTGTATCTGTGTGTGTATATTTGTGTCTGTATCTGCATGTGTGTCAGGTTTGTATCTGTGTGACTGTATGTTCTGATTGTGTGTATTTGTGTGTCTGTATGTGCCAGTGTGTGTACCTATGTGTCTGTGTATCTGCATGTGTGTCGTTGTTTGTATATATGTGTCTGTGTACCTGTCTGTCTGTCTGTCTGTGTATCTGCATGTGTGTCAGTGATGGTATATGTTTGTCTGTGTATCTGCATGTGTGTCAGGTTGTGTATCTGTATATGTTTCAGTGTGTATGTATATCTGTAAGTTCACATTTTGTGTATCTATATGTAGTCAGTAAGTGTATCTTTGTATGTCCGTGTATGTCAGTGTGTGTCTGCATGTGTATCATTTTTTGTATCTGTGTGTGTGTATCTGCATGTTTGTCAGGTTTTGTATCTGTATGTCTTTATATCTGCATGTGTATCAGTGTGTGTGTGTGTATCAGTGTGTGTGGCAGTGCATGTGTATATGTGCATACATCTTAGCATTCAAACGCCAACACTACATACAAACACACTCCTGCATTGAAACGTTAACACTACATACAAACACACCTCTATGTTAAAAACACCAAAATTTCATATAAACACACTCCTGTATACACATAAATGCATGCTTGCATTTAAACGCCAACACCACATATGAACACACCCCTACATTCACACAAACATACGCCATACAAAAACATGCTTACATTCAAACACACAAACACTACTCATTGCTAAATTCAACCCTGCAAGCATGGGACAGTGGTGGAGCCCCAGCTGTCAAAACATTGTAGGAGTTGTATGACAGATGGGAATCTACCTTTTGGCCATGCTTGCGATAGCTGGGCCCAAAAGAAGCCTTGCACCAGGGCCCTTTCTAGTTTAGTTTCGCCACTACGTTGCAGTGGAGGATGTGATTACATGGCAGGGAGGGGAGGAGGAAGGTGCACTATTGGTTTTACTGAAAATGTCATGACTGCATCGTTGTAATGCCTGTTAAGTCTAAAAACAAAGATTGACAAAAAGAGAAAGTCTGTTGGTGCTGCGGTATTTCCATTATAATAGTACTGAGCAGACCTGTGCATGAGAAAATTAATTTCAACCAAATAATTTTTTCCAAAAATAAATATTTTTGGGGATGAGTGACTTTTGCCTATATGGCAGTTTGGCTCAGCAGAATTTCAGTAATAATAAAATAAAAAATTCAGGAAATGGGTGAGGCTGAAGAAAATCATCTAGCTGAGAAGCGTGCCCAACAATGCAATCTGACAAGTTTATAAATGTTTATTAAGTACCTTTTTAAGTTTTTCTTGCTTTATTTTATTTTGTATATTTGTTTAAAAGGGATTGCTTGCTGGTTTAAAAAGAAATTATTGTCAAGTGATGCTTCTCCCCTTAATTTCAGCACAAAGTGTATTCTATTATCTCATTGAAATCAATGTCTCCTTGATGATGGGTTTCCTTTCCGGTGTTAATATCCGACTCACAATCCATGGAATCATTGATCATTTCGTTTTTGCAGTATGAGAAAAATAACACTTCAATATATTTGATAAAGATTTTTTTTTTGTTTTTTGTTTTAATATTTTTAATGGTTTTCTCTGTATGAAAAGTTTTTTGGGCAGTATTCTAAATGTAGAGACATCACTACAGCAACCAACAATTCCACTGATTGATTCACATTTAGAATTTCACAACTCATGATTTATTTTCTGAGCCTTGGATAACCAAAAATACAGCACAATGAATTAATTCCATAGCTACTAGGTTGAAACTTTAATTAAAAAAATAATTATATATATATATAATTCATTTTTTTAACATTTCTTTCTTTATTTATTTAACTTGTATACATGCATATTTAGGAACAACATTTAACTAGGCTATTATATTCTATTCTATTTTTTTGTTAATTACATTTGAAAACTGGCTTCACAAATTGATAAGTGCACGTACAGACTTTACACAATATTAAGTGGATATAGTAAAATGTGGCATAATAGTGAGATAAAGGGTTGTTTGGCTGTTATCAATTATAAATCAGTCCACGTTGACTGTGCCCTTCTTTGGTCCTCGACAGCTGCTTGATTCAACCTGTTATTTAAATCTCAGTAAGCGGAGCATGCTCCACTGCCATCTGCCAGTCAAACAGACAGCTAGTCTGCTCAGAATTAGGCTCGGTGGTGAAACAAATGTGCCGAGCCTGAAACAAACAGTGTGAAACGATACGGACATAAAACTATGGCGGCAATAAGTAAACCACTGTATCACTGTCTCAGTGATACAGTTATTTGGGAATCTGTGACATCCTTTCATATTCTCCAACGGACATCTGACTCGAAACAGAAAATGGGTCCAGTGGGGTGCTTCTTTGTTGGTCGCTGTTACACAGGGGGCACATTGTTAAGTGTATTAAGTTCATGATTTTGCTGCACACCATCTAGTATGTTAACCACATTTTTTCAAAGAGATATCACATGTAATATTTCCAGTAGTGCTTCTCCAGAATATAACTTACCCCCCACCCCCCCAATCTGGCACGTTACATTGTATGGCTGAAAGTTAGTCATCCACTTGTTGGACTATACACCATTTATCAAGTCTGTTTTATAGGTGACAAAGGAATGTTTAGTGTTGGGTAAAGCTATACCAAAATGATCAGTGTTGCAGAAATGCCTCTGCCACATGTTCTTGGAGGGGTCTGTTTGCAAGCCTCCTGCCAAAAGACTAAGGGCCCTTTAAAAATGTATGTGATTTCTGTACTCTATAAGGAGAGACTGACCGTTGGCCCTAATTCCTTGGAACTGTTTTGGGCATAGGACCATGTGCACGGGCTGTCAAAATGATGACTTCCATGGAAATCCTGAACCCCTGAACCGATCTGGGTGATTTTTGAATATGCTGGTCCTCCAGATCAGGGCTATCAGGGGATATGACTTTGTGGGGTTTCCATGTGTTTTAGGGGTACTTTTGGGATGTTGTTGTATTGCATGTTTTTCTGTGCTTGGAGATAATTGGATTAGATTAGTACAGTTCCTGATCAAATTAGCTCCCAGGCCTGGATCTAAGAGCCAATGTAATAGTGTATTTGTTTCTACTGTGGTTTACTCTCAGGTCCAGGGGGGAATGCCCCTTGCATGGGGACCTGCATATAAGGCCAGTTGTGGCTACTATTAAACAAGTTCATCTCATGTTTGTAGGGAACCGCCATACCAGCTATAATCGCCAGCTCTTGTATACTGCTATACCTGCTGTACTCTCTTGGAGGAGAGGCCTTCTCACTGGGAGCTGGATCCATGGATCCAGGAGTTTGGTCCAGGGTAGTAAGAGACGACGAGAACCCAGCCAAGCTGTGGCGGCTACGGGGCTTCTGTACTTATGGTGTCCGGTGCGGTGCTTATGGTACTCGGTGACAGCTAGGAAGCAGCGATTGGTGGAGGCACCCAGTCGGGGGGGGTCACAATCAGGTCTTAGAGAAAAGCAAATTCCATTTGTCGCATGAATTACCCCAATTTCGCTCTATAAACACAGGGTGGTTCTGATGTCCAATATGCACTATCCCTTATGAAAGGGCTAGATATCTTTTGGAGTCTATGCTATGTCTTCCCTGTGGATGTATGTAGAATTTCAAGGCAACAAATAATGACGGAAATGATCAAGAATAATCAAATCAAAGCAGTCCATTAACTGCTAATGGTTTCATGTATAATGTACTAGGAGAAAAGATTAAATATTGACCTCAGGAAGATGTGGATACTATCTATTACAGTGGAAGAACCAGTCTTTTAAGCACACAAACAGTTAAGGATTAGGGCATCTGCCAATTCTAGTCATGTTTGGATACTAACTTTCAAAATTAAGCCCTGCACTCAAACTCCCACTACTCCTGGGCAGCAGCAACGACTATAGTACACATCAGCCCAAATACATAGGATAAAAATGGGAATGATGTGTACTATAGTTGATGGTGCTGCCAGGCCTGGATTGTCTATCGGCATGGGCCGAGGCTGGCAAGGGTAGGTCGCAGGATCTCCCTGGCCGGTCCATGCAGGGCCCGTGCTAACCGAGCGACGGCCCCGCTGTGTTCCATTAAGGGTCGGTGGGTAGATCAAAGATCTCCCTCACTGGCTCACATACAGTGTATTGCGGCTGCCGGCTGGGGAGGGTGGGAGAGAGACAGGAGAGGACCCGGAGGAGCTCTATCTTGCAGCTCCGCCAGGTTCCACTCGCGAGATCCGGATCGTCACAGGCTAGAGTTCACTCACCACTAGGACCACCAGGGATGGCAGCACGTTCCCCCCTCCCAGGCTAAAGGTAAGAAGGGAGGGAGAATACAATGCCTGTTTTTTTTTTTATTATCCCCCCAACACACACAGCACATACACACACACCATCCTCTCTCACACACACACAGCAACCTCACAGACATCACCCTCACACACACATACACACACACACACATCGCCCTCACAGAGCACCGTAACACACACACACACACGCAACCAGCACCCTCACACACAGTAACACACACAGCAGCTTCACTCACACACACAGCACCTTCACTCGCTCACACAGCATCCTCCCACACACACACGCAGCACCCTCACACACACTCATCACCCTCACTCACACACATAGCACCCTCACACACACACTGCACACCTCACACACAACACCCTCTCACACACACACAGCATCCTCACAAATACACACTACACCCTTGACACACACTGCACACCTCACACATACACACAGCAGCCCCCAAACACACTGCACCACTCACACACAATACTTCCAAACATATATTTTTTATATACTACAGAGCCCCTCACACACATACTGCACCCCTAAACACATTACATTCCAGACACACACTAGATCCCTTACCCAACTCTGGATCATCTACACATCTACACACGGTGCAAGGATTTTTTCCACTCTAGGCAAAATAAAAATTTGCCGCCACCCCTCCCATGTGACATCACAATGCCCCACACATATGATCTGCCATATGAACTAACATCAGTGCTGCACACAGTGTGTATTTACATTAAAAGGCCTGCAGGGAAGGCTATAGACACCAGAACCCCTTCATTAAGCTGCAGTGGTTCTGTGACTATAATGTCCCTTTAATGTGAGGTAAATTAGAGATTAGTGTCACTAATAATATACTAGGTTGCCTACTTACAACCAGATGAGGATGATGATGGGCTTTGGCTGCAGTCTGGCTCAACTTGTCTGGTGTAGAACAGAATCTCTGGAGGCTGTTTGTAACTGTGGGCACAAAATTCAATGTTCTGGGAGAACGGGAAGCAACTCCATTTTTTAGGGCCCCTTACACAGCTCAAGGTCTGTGCTCCCAGGGCCTGACGGTGAGTATGCCCATAAGGCCCACCCATTAGTCCACCCACATGTTCCACCCATGAGCTCGCTCACAAGGAGTAGAGTGTGTAGGGGATGTGTTAAATGTTATTGTAGAGGATCTAATGTGTGTGCTTATGGAATGTAGTGTATAGGGATACCAGTTTGTGTAGGTGACGCAGTGTGTTTGTGTGTAGTGGAAGCAGTGTGTTTTTGTGTAAGGGGTAGAAAGCAGTGTGTGTTTGTGTATAAGGAATGTATTGTGTGTTTCTGGTTGTGTGTAAGGGATGCATTGTGTGAATCTGTGTTTGTATGCATAAGGGATGCAAGGTGTGTTTCTGTGTATGTAAGGGATGCAGTGTGTGTCTGTAAGGGGGGCATTGGAGATGTATTGTGTTTCTGTGTGTGTGTAAGAGAAGCAGTGTGTATTTGCATGTGTGTGTAAGGGATGCATTGTGTGTTTCTGTGTATGTGCACAAAGGATGCATTGTCTTTGTGTGTAAGGGTTGCATTGTGTGTGTGTGTAATGGATGCATTGTGTGTTTTACTGTGTGTAGGGAAGCATGTTGTGTTTCTATATGTGTAGAGATGCATTGTGTGTTTCTGTGTATGTATATTGTGTGTGTGTGTAGTGTGAAAGAGCCCCCCTAGTGGTCTCTCCTTCCCCCTTTCCATTAGTCATCTCTCCTCTTCCCCTACCCCTCTCCATTAGTGGTCTCTCCCCTCTTCCCCCCTTCCCATTAGTGGTCTCACCTCCCTTCCCCCACCCTTAGTGGTCTCTCCTCTCCCCCCACCCTCTCCTAGTGGTCTCTTCTCACCTCGCCTTCCCCTAGTGGTCCCTCCTCCACCCCCTCCCTCCCTCTGTGGTCTCTGTTCTCCCCTCACCCTCCCTTAGTGGTCTCTCCTCACCCCTTGTGGTTTCTCCTCCACCACCTCTCTCCCTTAGTGGTCTATTCCCCTCCCCCCCACGTTCTCCTCAACCCCACTGAGTGAGCACTTCCTGTCATTCTGGCCGGGTACAGGAAACGGATGTTCCTGTACCGCAGACCGGAGAGGAGCTCGGCCACACTACACAGGGAAGGGAAGGGGGGTGACTTACACTCACTGACTTACAAAACACACACTCACTAACAGACGCACACAAACTAACACACTCAGTAACAGACACACACAGTAACACACTCACTGACACACTCTAACACTAACACACACTCTAACACACATACTCTAACACACACACTAACACACACACTCTAACACACACACTCTAACATACACACTCATACACACACACACTCTAAGACACACTCACACACACTCTAACACACACACTAACACACACACTAACACACACGCACACTCTAACACTAACACACACTAACACACACACACACTAACACACACACACACACACACACACACACACTCACACTCACACTCTAACACACACACACACTAACACACACACACACACTCTCTAACACACACACACTAACACACACACTCTAGCACACACATCTTCAGGCTCCAGTATCAGTGCGGTGCACGAGGGAGCTGGGGAGAGAGCACTCAGGGGAAAGTGCAACTTTAACGCACCCGCCCGCCCACCCGGTGACAGCAGGGCCAGCCTACCGGGTTGCAGGGCGGTATGTACGCCACTGCTTGTAAGCAAACACATACTACATTCCCTAAACATACACTCTCTACAACCCCTACACACACTACATCACCTATACACACACACACACTACAGCCCATATGCACACATTCGCTACAGCCCCTATACACACTATGCCCCCTATACACACACTATCTACAGCACCTAGACACACATACATTACTTTACACCACAAACACAACGTGACTGAAACCGACCTAGTAACACAAAACCACACAACAATCACCTCACTCTACACACTCAATCCTATAAGCAGGCTCCAAACATTTTCACAATACTGTTTCCTGGCATTTTTGTCTCCTGGTATCCCATTTATGGAGACACCAGAGACAAGTTTTAAGAAAACACAACGCAATCATGTTATTAAATTTGCTTGCACTGTGCAGAACAAATACAGGCCCTTTTCACATGCTAGAGCTCTTCAGCAGAGCTCTGCACGTGGTCTGCTCTGGAAGAGCATTGAACCAACATGCTCACTTTAAAATGGGGCGTGCTTGTCATGAGGGATGACAAAACATCCCTGCCCCCTTTTCAGTGGGCCGCTGTGAAAATGCCAGGGCCAAATGTTTTTCCCAGTCTGGCCCTGGCTGCCGCTAAAAAGTAGTTGGGTGTGCAGGGCTTAATTTTGTATGTTTGTATTTGCTTTTGTATTGCACAGCCATGTTACAGTTCTGCCACTCATCCCGTGTGTTTCCTATTAAGGGTTAATAAGTGTGTAGGGGTTTAGAAAATACCCCTCTCTGTCACATTAGAGAGTTTGCCTTATAGTTGAAGACAGCACGGTGAATTGTTAATGTAGGACTCACTTAAGAGGTTTTGCCTTGATGTGGCAGGTAAGCTTACACTTAAATAGCCATTGGAGCGATACCAAAAACCTCCAGTTATTTAAATGTAAATGGGGATTTGGGGTCGTGCACAAGTAAGTTTTTTCTTAGATTTTTAGCATATTTGAATACTAACAAAATCTGAACCACCTTGGATGCCTTGATAAACTGGACTGGCAATTTCTGTTCTGCAACTATGAGAGAATGAGCATATTTAAAGGACCACTATAGTGCCAGGAAAACCTACTCGTTTTCCTGGCACTATAGTGCCCTGAGGGTGCCCCCACCCTCAGGGACCCCCTCCCGCCCGGCTCTGGAAAGGGGAAAGGGGTTAAAACTTACCTTTTTCCAGCGCTGGGCGGGGAGCTCTCCTCCTCCGATCCTCCTCTTCTCCTCCCCGTCGGCTGAATGCGCACGCGCGGCAAGAGCTGCGCTCGTTTTCAGCCGGTCACATAGGAAAGCATTCATAATGCTTTCCTATGGACGCTGGCGTGCTCTCACTGTGAAAATCACATTGAGAAGCATGCAAGCGCCTCAAGTGGCTGTCAATGAGACAGCCACTAGAGGGAATAGGGGGAAGGCTTAACCCATTCATAAACATAGCAGTTTCTCTGAAACGGCTATGTTAATGAAAAAATGGGTTAACCCTAGCTGGACCTGGCACCCAGACCACTTCATTAAGCTGAAGTGGTCTGGGTGCCTTGAGTGGTCCTTTAAGATTTTTCTGGTTTGACAGAAGCATGCTAGGTTTATAGCTCAGTGTTTCATTTTTCAGGCATAGCCCGTTACAAATGACACCTACCCAACTGAGATCCATCAAATTACTATGATGTCAAAAAACAGAAGCAGTTAAAATGGAAGATACTCTATACCAAAAACAAAGCATGATTTTCTACATATGCTATAAATTACTTCTCATAATGATATTATGTTACAACTAATGCTTATGGCATACATACAGCTTCGTGTTTGTTTGTTTGTTTGTTTTTCATTATTTTTAACCTATTCTTGCCCATTCACAGATTCCTCAGTCGACCTGCTCCAGAGAATGTTCGGCAGGCCAGATTAAAATAACAGAGGGTTTTCATACCTGCTGCTTTGAATGTCTGACGTGTCCAGAGGGAACTTTTGTGAATGCTTCAGGTAGGGGTTTAAAGGGGTCACTTAAATGTAACAATAGTAATAACAAACAATCATTGAGAATATTGTAGTCTATGAACAATGTTAGTTTATAAATGTAGCATACATAAATACATTTCACTATAATCTGAAGATGCATGTTGACAGAGGGCAAGGCAGTAAATGGATAAGTCTTCCGTCCTCTTGACCCCAATAAAACCAGTAAGACATTTTCATGAAGAAACATATGATATTATTGTACATTTTTGCTGAGTGTTTATTTATATATATATAGTGATAGTTTCCTACATTTGGTATTGACACAAATAATGTGGTATGTGGTTGGTTCCAAATGTATCAGTTTATCTTCATACTATTGCAAGGGTAGGCAACCTACGGCACTAGTGCCATGCACGGCACTCAAGGTGTCTTTGCACGGCACTCAAGGCTGCTAGAGCCAAACAGGCTCTGGCCTATCAGAAGTCCAAGTGAAACTTCAGATATCTGCTAATACGAAAAGGTGGTGAAGGACAATCCTCAATTTATGCATTGCAGCACATAGAGGAAATTATCTCAGATCACTTCCTCCAGGGCACTTGTGAATGGGAATCCACACTGTAGTAGAGCAGCCTGCAGCTGCTGTTACTGCTCCTGTCCTTGACCTGTACCTGGCCAGCCTGGTCCCCACTGGAACCCAGGGAAGCCACCCACACTGCTAGATATACACAGAAATGCAGAATAACCCTCCCCTCATACAAATAATAAGAACAGCCCACACACAAACATACACACAATCCGCATAAACATAACCAGCTAACAATCCACATACATGCACACAACCCCACATGCAGCCTCTCACATGCAATACTCAAAACAGCCCACACACATGCGCACACTACCAAACACATAATGTGACATATCCACACACAAGTCCACAAGCAGCCCTCCTACACAGCCCACATTCATATTTATCATACACGATACCATAAACTACTAATGAACATATACAATATAATGGCTCATATACGCACAAATACAACGATACAAGGCAATTACAGTATAAATAACACAAGCAGAATACGGCAACATACACACGTCAATTTAAAAAAAAAAATAGGATCGGCACGCTATGGGACATCACAATCCTAGATCAGCACAGTGCTGCTAAAAGGTTGCCTAGCCCTGTACTATTATAAAACAGATAATTCACCAGTCTAAAATTTCTTTCTTTTTTTTTTTTATCAGCATTTATGTGTATATAACTACATTTAATTTTGTATTATATCTATTTAATTTAAAACTATAATGTTCTTCTAAATGTTCTCAGGCACTTACAATAAAATCAATGTTGCACTGGCAAAACCACATTTTAATTAAAATTGTCTTTGCATATTATCAATATACATTTCAGATTTCATTGTGGTCAGAATTAATGGGTCGATTAATTATTGCTATTTTTGCTTCTACTTTTCAGAATGTTCTCCGTGCCCTCCGGGTCAATGGTCTAAGGCTGGAAGCAAAACCTGCCAATCTCCGACCTTCCACTTTCTTACATGGGGAAACTTTTATGTTATTGTCATTTTTATATTAATGGCAGTCATTGTGTTTCTTATTTTTGGAGTGGCTCTCTTGCTTTTGAAGTACCAGAACACCCCAATTGTCTCTGTAACTGGTAGATCCATGAGCGGCGTTGTCATGTTAGGTCTGGTATGTATTTGTCTGTCCATCTTCTTCTATATTGGACAGCCAAACGAACTGATATGTCACCTACAACAACCGTTCCTTTCCATAGGTTTTACTCTCTTCCTCGGACCTATAGTGGTAAAATCCATTAAACTTGTGGTTTTTCCTTCCGATAAATCATGCCTGCACTGGCTCCTTAACCGGGGATGCTGGATAATTATATCTTGCTCTTTCTTAGGACAACTGTTGCTTTGTGCCTTGTATATCTTCTCAGCAGCACCTTTTTCCGTAGCTTCCATAGAAGTAGAAGCTATGGAGATCTACCTCAGTTGTCAATATGAGCCTGTGCTTCAGTTTTCCTTGATGTTTGGCTACAATGGGCTGCTCGTCTTGGTGTCCTTCTTATGTTCTTTTATGGCCGAAACCCCCATCAACCAATATAACTCAGCAAGAGATATCACATTTGCTATGCTGACTATGATTCTTGCATGGATTATTTTCATACCCACTTACGTAAGCACCCCCGCTGCTTATAAACCTCTTATTCAAATGGTTTTTATTCTAGGCAGCTGTTTGGGGATTTTGGCAGCTCTGTTTTTCCCTAAATGCTACATTGTCCTCTACAAAAAGGAATTGAACATTAATGAATATTTTGGGATCTGTGATGAAAAGAACAACTTTGAAAACAATGTGAAATAGAGGCACATTGTGTGTGTTTTTTAATTTTTACATTTTTTTTTTACTGTTTAACAAATCATTTATCAGTAAGAGAACATAAGGAGAATAATGTACAGATATACATCTTGTGGTCATATTTTAGGTATTGGTGAAGGGTGCTGATAATTTAAAGGGTTATTACACGCACCATAACTACTTCAGTGATTTGATGTGGTCATGGTGTTTGGAGTCTGTATGTGCAGTGTTCCATTTGGAAATGCTGCACATAAACAGTTAAAGCGCATAGCTGCATATATGACATCTGTAATCAGCATGCATAGCATGATGGTGACAAGCAACCAATGACGGCACACCCTCTCCCCACCTGTGCCTCGCATGTCCTCCACTCAGACTGTCTTCGGGGGTGCCCCTGTAGGAAGACTGGGCTGAGGGAGAACTTGGCCTTGGTGTTGGATAGAAACGTGAGTTAATTCTAACTTTCTTTGTTTTGTTTTTTTAAGGCACGACTGCAATGGATACTCCATCCATAACAGTATTTCATTAATACACTGTTTACGTTTGGAGTAACCCTTTAAGATTTTCCCTGTCCCTTCTTGTTCCACCTAGGAACAAAAAACATATTTATCATGTTTTTATGTGTGATGGAGAATTAATTATTTTACCTATGCAATGCTTAGTGAATATTCCCCTAGACATACAGAGCTAACCTATGCATTAACCTATGCATACTGAGACGTGGATTTAATAACATATTATCCTGTATCTGGGGGGGGGGGAAGGGGAAGAAAATCGAGGTAAAGAAAAGCAGAACCAGAAAAAAGGGGACTTGTCATAGATACAGGTAAATAAGGGTTAAAAAGCCTTTTTGCCTTAGTTAAGTCTTTCCACGTCTGCATGGGTTTAAAAGAAAGAATTTTCTCCCTTGGCTGCAATCGGTATTCCCTTTTCTCTTTCTCAGGCCAAGCACAACCTCCCTTTTATCTGTCTTACAGGCCAATATAACCTTCGCAAGGTGTAGAGAAGACATGCTAGACATGCGCAGTAGATTCCCTGTAATACATAATGTTATTTGAATAATTATAATTTTTTTTCCACTGATCTTCTATGAGTGGTTGATTTTGTCTTCTGTTAGAATAGATACACCCCTATGAAAACTGTGCTGTACCTGCTTTTAAGAAAAAAAGGCACTTCTTTCTTAAACTTCATAAGGACTGGTTTGCTTTAATGGTACATTACTTGTTATCTGAGGTCAGGGCCGGACTGGCCCACCGGGATACCGGGAAATCTCCCGGTGGGCCGTCGGCACCTGGGGCCGGGCAGGCAGCTGGCTGACCTGCGGCCGCAGAGGGAGCTCTTTTGGCGGCCACAGGGGGAGCTGGCTGTTCTGTCTCTGCTCCCCCTCCCCAGCACGCCGCTTAATGAGACCGGGGCCAGAATATCATATTCCAGCCCCGGTCTCATTAAGCGGCACGGCGCGCTGGGGAGAAGAGACAGAACAGCCAGCTCCCCCTGTGGCCGCCAAAACAGCTCAATCTGCGGCGCCAGAAGACCCAGCTCCCCCATGTGGCCGTCATCAGAGCTCCCCATGCGGCCGCCAGCACACAGGTAGCAATTATGTGTGTCAGTGTGAGTGTACATGTGTGTCTGTCTGTGTCATGATGTGTGTGCGTCTGTGTCATGGTGTGTGTGTCTGTGTCATTGTGTGTCTCTGTCTGTGCCATGGTGTGTGTGTGTGTGTGTTTGTCTGTGTCATGCAATGTGTGTCTGTGTCATTGTGTGTGTGTCTCTGTCTGTCATGGTGTGTGCGTCTGTCTGTGTCATGCAATGTGTGTCTATGTCATTGTGTGTGTGTGTCTGTCATGTAATGTGTATCTGTCTGTGTCATTGTGTGTGTTTGTCATGGTGTGTGTGTGTATGTATGTCATGGTGTGTGTGTGTGTCTGTGTCATGTAATGTGTGTCTGTCTGTGTCACGGTGTGTGTGTCTCTGTCACGGTGTGTGTGTCTGTCTGTGTCATTGTGTGTCTGTCTGTCATGGTGTGTCTGTGTTTCTGTCTGTGTCACGGTGTGTGTGTGTTTCTGTCTGTGTCACGGTGTGTTTGTGTCTGTGTCACGGTCTGTCTGTGTCATGGTGTGTGTCTGTCATGGTATGTGTGTGTGTATATGTGTTTTTACTCACCTTTTTTCCCCCCCCACGTTGTGCTGGTCTCCCCTCGACCAGCTACGGCTGAGATCATCAAGCTTGATGATCTCAGCCAATCCGCACTGACACAAGAAGCACCTCTACTGACCTTCTGAGTGTCTGTCACTAGGAAGCAATGTAAACACTGCCTTTTCTCTAAAAAGTCAGTGTTTACATTGAAAAGCCTGCAGGGACAGGCTATAGACACCAGAGCCACTACATTAAGCTGTGTGTGTGTGCGCGCCTGTTAGTGAGTGGGCTTGCTTGTGTGTGTGTGTGTGTGCCTGCTACTGAGTGAGCTTGTGTTTTTATGTCAATTACCTTATGTATATCAGTGAGATTGTTTGTCTATGAGGCTGTGTATCAATCAGCTTGTATCAGTGAGATTGTCTGTGTCTGCATGTGAGTATGCTTACTGTATAATTAAATATTTTACTCTGAAAGGACCAATATTTTATATTGGAAAAAGCAGTATATATATGATATATATATATATATATATATATCGCAATCATCTAGGGTGGCAAGACATAGCCTTACATATTACATGCGACAATATATGGCGCAATGACTTATGGGGCTGGCACAATTTTTTTTTCCAGGGCTGCTTTGGAATCCCCAGTCCGGCCCTGTCTGCAGTGAACATATACAAAGATTAAGGAAAGCAGGATGTGTTACCAGCATAAGGGTTACAGACCCTGTAAAATTCTTAGAGCCTAACAATGTGGAATATAATTTTGTAGTGTTACTGCTTAAAGGGACACTCCAGACATTAAAGAGCTTTTATGTATTTGAAAACTTGTACTCTTAATTACCTGTGTGTTCTCATGCTCAATTTTGTAAAATTTTGCATATAAATAAATGTATTGCAGCATAAGCCTGCCTCGTTTGTTCCACTTTCCATTCAAAAATATTATCTTGCTGGTTAGTGTATGCGTGTACAGCTCCCTTTATGTCCTTCACACATAACCTGCCATGTTTCTCCTGTAACACAGTTGTTCATGTCATCGGGAAGCACAGCAAGATGTAGTTCATTTAGAATATCATTCATAAACTGAATCCTGTTGCACCCTTTGTAAAAGTGCAATAAATGTTAAAAGATTAGAACTAAAATGAGATTGAAAAGAAGATGTGGACTTGGATTAATCAAGTAGGTAACAAATTGGATGGACGGGGGGCGGGGCCAGACCGCCATGCTGAGAGGTTGCATACAAGACAAGCTCCTGCAGATTAACAACATTAATACCTACAAAAAGCAAATAATCTACCTATCTGCAGTTAAGCAGCAGCGGTCCTGCGGGCGAAGAGGTGCTGGAGCTGAGGCCACTCGGATTACAAGCGTTTCGACTCCTGAGAAGGCACATCAGCACAGCTACATCTGAGGCCTACCCGAGCGGTGAGTGGGGTGGACGGCCGCCACCTCGCTATCCTGCCCTGCGGTCTCCCTTCGGAGCTCCGACGCCACGCGGTAAGGGCCCCGTATCCCCCCCCCCCTTTGGACCGGTGGGGGTCATCCCGGTCCCAGGAGACTGTCTCTGCGACCTGTAATGCCTGAGTCTGAGAGCGCTCCCCACAACCGAAATGGCGGAAGCAGCAGGCAAACCTGAAATGGCGGCGCAACCAGGGAGCACCAGGCCTCAGCAGATCTGATTCCAGACGGTTAAAAAGCAGAGGGGCCCCTCACTACAGCGATGTCACTAACCCACAGACAGGGATTCCCGGCTCCTGCGGCAAAGTGCAGTCGGGACCTGCCACCCGGTCCATCCCTATGCAACGCTGCAAACCCTGCCAACCTACATGACACCCCCGCATTTCAGCTGAATCCAGTAGAGGATCGGGCAGACAAACGGGATCAAACACAGTGCACCCACCCCTCTTACCACTAGTCACGCTGGACTCACTCCTACCATGCCACAGACTCTGCAGATCGGGGGTTGGATGAGCATGAACTGCCTGGGAGACTCTCTCAAGGTCTGGGCTACAGTCAGAGGGGATGGCTCCTGTCACTCTTGCCATCTATGCAACCTGATGCTCTCTTTTTATAACTTACACCGTTAAAACCACTTGCATAGCTTAAGCCTTGTCTACCATTTATTTTTATATTAATTTAGTCCTGTATTGAGTCAGATACAAATCCAGCAAAGCAACTGTTTTAGCATATCTTGAAGCGTGATGTTTAACCTACTCTAACTACACTAACATAGCTAATCTAGTATTGTTAAGCACTAATAGTTTTATTTACTTTTACTCTGACAATATACCAGTTTAGTCAAGCTTGCTATAAAAATATAAAAAATGTGCGAATTTCCATGCCACTGACTAACTTTTGTAAATCCTGCAATACGCTGTTGTGGCGTCTGTCGATACCCTGTAACCACCTGCACAACAAAAATAAAGAATAAAAAAATAAATAAAAATTGGATGGACATTCCTCGGTGAACTGAACAAAATTCGACAAAATTCGGCCCGGGTAATTTTTAATCACAGTGGCCCACTGAGAAGGGGGCGGGGCCAGATAGGGTGTGTTTTGTCATCACCAATGACAAGCATGCACCCTCTCAAAGTGAGCATGTTGGTTCAATGCTCTTCCAGGGCAGACCATGCGCAGAGCTCTGCTGAAGAGCTCTTGCATGAGATAAACGCCCTGTATTTGTTCTGCACAGCGCAAGCAAATTTAATAACATGCTTGCACTGTGTTTCCTTGCAACTTGTCTCTGGTGTCTCCATAAATGCAATACCAGGAGACAAAAATGCCAGGAAAGAGTACTGTGCATGTGTTGGAGCCTGCTGCCTAGTTCGCCTTATAAGAAGCCCTGGCCCTGTATATAAATTGGCATGAAGGTCAGGTGTATGCCACACACAACTAATTAGTTCATTTAGAAAATATGAATGTGTGCATGTCTTAGTGTGTGTATTTGTTGTTTTTTCGTGTTAATGTATATGTATATCTGTATAAGAATATTGCAGTATATATACTTATATGCATGCATCCAAGTAATCAAATACCAACACAACATGCAAACACACCGCTGCATTCAAACTCCAAAATTATATACAAACACACCTCTTCACTCAAACACCAGCACTACACACAAAAGCACACCATCATTTAAAAGCCAACACGACATACAAACACACCCTTGCATTCAAACACAAATGCTAAACGTAAATTCAGCACTGCATTCCAATGGCAATAGTACATACAAATATACCCCTACATGCACACATATACGCTATACAAAAATATGATTACATTCAAATGCACAAACACTGCTCCCAAGCAAGGATGGGAAAATGGTAGTTCCCCTGCCGACATAGCATCATTTGAGTTGGAAGACAGATGAGGATCTACTTTTTGGCCACCATTGAACAAAAGGGGGGCCCAAAAAACTTTCTTGCACCACTGCCTCTCCACATTAGTTCTGCCACTGAGTGTATGTGTGTGTCTGTCAGTGTATGTGTGTGTATATGTGTATCTGTAAGTGTATGTGTGTCTGTCAGTTTATGTGTATCTGTATACGTGTGTGTTTCTGTCATTGTGTGTGTTTGTCAGTGAGTGTGTCTTGCCTGTCAGTGTGTGTATGTCTGTTAGTGAGTGTGTTTCAAATCAGAGTGTGTGTCAGTGTGTCTGCCTGTTAGTGTGTATGTCTGTCAGTAAGTGTGTGTCTGTCAGTGTGTGAATGAGTCAGTGTGTGTATGTGTATGAGTATGTTTGTATCTGTGTCGGTGTGTGTGTATCTGTGTGTGTTTCAATATGTATGTGCGGGGCAGTATGTGCACCCAGCAAGCAAACACCAACTGTACAAGCATGTTCAAACACAAACGCTAAACACAAGTACTCCACAACTTTATAATACCAAGAGTACATACAAATATACAACTGCATTCAAATGCCAACACTGCATACAAATACATACATAAATAGATACATGCATCCAAATACACAAAGCACGCTTAAATCTGTCAGTAATTTATTTTATATTGCGTTAAGAAGTGTTTTTTCATAAACAATTGTAATGCACTTTATCAACAAATACTATAGTCTTTACATGTGTTGAATTAGCCTTACAATTAGAGGGATGGGGTGGATAGGGACTGGGGGAGGGGGGTGGGGTTAGTACATAGTTGTGGGGGTTTTGTTTTGCCCTGGGCAACTGTAAGTCTGGTTATGCCACTGGTGCAGTAGTGTATGTTTGTGAGTGTTTGCATGGGTATAGGAACCTGGGGGATATGGCAGGATGAATCCTCCCTCAGATAATCCGATGTGGCTTCTAAAATCTTATGTTTCACTGTTTAAGAAGGATAAGAAAATCAAACATATTGAGTGGTAAAATCTAATTTTGTCTGCAGAAAACAGCAGAAAATTGTGGGTTCGGGATTACTATGGGATACCTCACTTCCCATTTTATTTGGGTTCTACATCGATGGGCGTTGTATCAGTGATTGTAGTAGTTTGTGTAGATGTGTGTACCATGATGTGGTCAAAATAAATTTATATTATAGACTTAATAAATATACAAATATGGATTTCTTAACTGCTCTTCCTCTTTTGCCTCTATTGTTTATTTCTTTTCCTCACTTGATCTGTGAACCAAATCGGGAACATTATCCTATTAGTGTACTGAAAAATATATATACATAATATCATATTATGTATATATTTTGCAGTACCTGATGGACCAATTTTTGCGCCCTTTTAATTCTTCTGAATAATTTCCTGAATCATTTTGGGGTTTTTTTCACTACTGAAATTCTGCTCAGCCAAACCATCTTATGGGTGAAATTCGATCTTCCCCCCAAAAATAATTTTTGAAAAAAATGGTTTGGCTGAAATTAATTTTCTCTTGCACAAGTCTTCCCAGTACCATTATCATAGAAATACTGCAACAGTCACAGACCTTCTTTCGCCTGTCATAAGATTGCTTCATGTTTCCAGCTGATGGTTGGCATGAGAACTGTAAATGTATTCCATAGATGCCTATACCTAATACCCTACAAACTCTGTTATTTTTTCACTTTTTATGCGGTGTTATACTTTCTTTATATGTACAATTTATGTTTGCAGAAATTGCAATACCAAAATTAAATCCAGTTTGCTTTTTCCAGGGTTAGAATTGATGTAACTGTTTATCCTATAATTTGACTTCTAATACTCCAGAACAGGTTTATATTTTTTTTATTAGCACTGTAAAACAATATATTCCACAAACAATAAAATGGATAGTGCTTCATCTCTAAAGGGACATGCTTAATTTGACAGTGTTTTTTTAAACAAACACATTTAACATATATACAAACAACTATACAAACTAAAAGAAATTAAACATAATGTTGTAGAGTATGTAATACATGTAATACATGTTTAAAAACGTACTATAAACTATATCAGTTTCCTTTGTTGGGCTCGCCTCTCAGCTAGGGGAGTTTCTTCGGCCCCCCTTACTCTACTCTCTCCCGTCAACAATTTGTTTGTGCACACTCAAACAAAGGATTCTGAAGTCATGGAAACATAATGACAAGCTGATTCTCTGTATATAGAAATAAAGTGTAACAAATGATTGTATGTATATATATTACAGTGAATACCTCTATATATACCGAGTCACAGTGTGATTTAAGGGGCACAGCATTGTGTGTCACTCAGTATACAGAGGGACTCACTGTGCAAGAAATATAGAAATATTTATTTGATTTGTTTCATTATAGCCATTAACACTGAAGTGTGTGGCTCTTATCCTTTTCAACCTATGTACGTACAGTTAACATACATACAACAACGCAATGATTTCTGATCACATTCTTCTGTAAGAAAAGTATAATTTGTTTACTTTTATCTCACACTTTAAATTACCCCAAAAAATAAACAAAATTGTTACTGTCTTCTGTCCCTATAACGAGAGTTACAGCAATTTACATGATTTAATTAACAATGGTGTAAGGTAGAACGTTTCATCTTGAGGTTCCTAAAACTTGACAATGGTCACATTACCACTTTGTGCCACACAACTACTTGTGATCTCTTCAGGTTTGACTTGAAGATGATGTTTCCATTCAATACAGAAAAGGCTTAGCATTTTATTTCGTAACTTACTGTGTCCCAAAAGTAAAACCATAGGGCTGAAGCCCATAAAAATGTAGGCACCAAAATTTGCAACAGTCAACAAGAATGCAGTGGAAGAAGAACCTTGAGTGAAGTTATAACAATTGACAGCAATCACATTGGTTCCCCAGCAGGTGACAAATAGAATGACGAGGACGGTAATCACAAGGGCTGCTTTACGCTCCGAGGCAACACGGCTAAGGGTCTTCTGGGCCCCTATTGTCTTGGAATGCTGATTTAGGGTATGTAATGTGCTGATGTTTGTGCTTACCATGAGAATGACGGGAATTAACTCATGAATAACCAATGTGGCTGTTACGTAGAGCAGATTTGCCGCAGGGCTTGGAAAGTTCCATACGCAGTCCATGACTGGCCGTGTAGTCGTTCCAATTAATTGGACTGAAAAGGTTACATTTGAGTAGCCACGTTCTGTGTACATAAAAGCAGGAATGAAGAATAGGCTGGAAAATACCCACAACACAACGAGAGCTTTTATGCTATCCCATAAAACACTCCTTCTCGCTTTCAACTGGTAATTCTTTACGTGGATGTAATGGAAAACACTAATCGAAAATGTCCCCCAGACACTCATTGATCTGAGAAGAGTCCACAGGAACATGAAGAATTTGCACCAGCCTGTGGAAAATAAGAGAGTAAAGCCAATCTGGAAGCAGACAACTAGAATATTTCTCAAGATGGAAATAAGAAGGTGAATTAATGTGAGGTGTGCAAGTATCAGATCTGAAGCTGGAAGGGTCTTTTTCTCAACAGAGTTAGCTATCACGGTGATTAGAACCAATACATTTCCTACTATTCCAAATATCACCAAGACGATGTAAAAAATGATTTGCGTGGATACCTCGGGCATTGCTGTCCTGGGACCTCCCCTGAGGTTCTTTACTGCTTGGATGATTTACTGTCTTGGATGTATATTGAATTCCTGAAAGCACAAAAAAATACAATATCAGGGTTATTCTCTAACGTGAGAATTCAAAGGGAATTTCAAACATAAGGCCAACGTAAATGAACTGGAACATTAGCTGAGTTATATATTTTTTTTCAGTTAGGCTATTTTGATCTGAAATTTAAAATTCACTTTGAATTCTCCCCTGAATGCAACAGGGAAAGAAAAAAACAACAACAAAAAAACAAATCTACAGAAATAAATAGGGAAATTCTTACCTTCCAAGACTGAAAATGTATTTGCTTAATTTCTCAACAATTAACTATAGAAACATAGAATGTGACGGCAGATAAGAGGCATTCGGCCCATCTAGTCTGCACAATTTTCTAGATTCCTTTAATAGTCCCTGGCCTTATCTTATAGTTAGAATAGCCTTATGTCTAGCCCACGCATGCTTAAACTCCTTCACTGTGTTAACCTCTACCACTTCAGCTGGAAGGCTATTCCATGCATCCACTACCCTCTCAGTAAAGTAATACTTTTTCTAACCTTTGTCCCTCTAATTTAACACTATGTCCTCTTGTTGTGGTAGTTTTTCTTCTTTTAAATATACAAATACAGTCTCCTCCTTTACTGTGTGTTGATCCCTTTCCCTTTATGTATTTAAACTTCTCTCTTATATCCCACGTGTCTCATCTTTCTCCAAAGCTTTAGAATTCTCTCTTTTTCTTTTTTTTTTTATTTCTTTATTGAAATATTAATGTTACAAAATTACAAGAATAAAATTTACATTACTGATTTTAAGAATAACAATAATACATAATTTCTTTAATTTATACTCTTACCTACAAACATTCCTATTAACATTCATACTACGACATACTTAATTCATACTGTCGCAGGTGGGGGTGGGGGGCTGTGGGGGATGAAGGGAGGAGGAGTGAATTCACTCTTTATTGAATAACCCCGTTAGTAAATAACTTGTACACGTGACTCTTGATAGCTAAATAACCTAAATAACCTTTCAATATCAGTGAGCAGCATTACCTATAATAAACACAGAGTTAAATTAACTAAAAGGAACTCATATTTTATGTATTTATTTATTTGTAATTTGTGTAATGAAAATGCTTTAAGAATTTAAACCCTTTCAGTAACAGGCTGGTGAGATGCTGACGGTCAATGTGATGGGCTGCATTATATCAGTCAGGTAACCGTAGTGGTTTAAATATATATCTCTTTATACATTCACACTGTACTCTTAGGATCCACGTATTAGCAGACTGATTTATTCTTTCCTGTCAATCTCCAGTGCAAGAAATGTCCTATATGTCAAAATGTTCAAATATACAGTTTTCAGATTTAAACCTTAAAGTACTCAGCAAGACTGGTCTTTTCGATGTGGAGTAGGTGCTAACTTTACAATACATGATACAATTATACTGTTTCCGTAAATTACACATACCTGAGATTTTATCAGAAGTCCTTACTCTGGCTTGTAGGATCTAAGGCTCGAGTCACACTGTATGTAAGATTCTTCAGATTCAGTAAAGAGTATAAATTGTGCTGATAAATCTCCTTTGCAGCCAATTTAACAAACACATCGGAAGCTTAGCAACCAAGAAATCACTTCTTGAAAAGCATGTCTAGCTAATCCTGTGACCATTGAGAATTGAATATCTTATGCAATTAAATATGAATTTAGCACACATCGTCTGACTCTCAATTATTCAAAATATATGCTTTTGATTAGTAGCGCATGCACTGTCACCAAAAACAAATGTGATATGTACACTTAAATATGTATTACGTAATTGCATTGTATGCTAAATAATAACAAACTTGTAAGGTTATTTACCTAATTAAGAATTTAAAATAAATTTTAAATTAAAGGCCAGAGTTGTCGAATTATAGTTGATTATTATTATATATTATCATAGTTGAAATTATAGTTTACTTTGGCTATTTTGAGCTTAAATTTGAAATTCACTTTGAATTCTCCCTGTATGTGTGAAAGTGTCATTCTGGCATTTGTAGAAAATCCACCCAAAAATGTAAAGGTAGGTTTCTGATTCATAAATATTTAGGTAGCAACTCAACCACTTGCTATTAGCCACTGACATACCTCCCAGGTGTCCCTGTTTAGGAGGAACAGTCCCGGTTCTGTGCCAAAAATCCCTCTGTCCCTCTCTCTACGAGCTTTCGAAATCAGTCTGTGTAAACAGGAAACATTGCTCTTGTTCTAAATTACACTTTGGGGCAAAAACTGTGGTTTGTAAGTCACCTAAAAGTTCTCAGAACTGCCCTGCCACTGGCCACACTTCCACTGACTCCCCTAAAATTATAGTATACCTCTTTGTCCATTTAAAAAGCTGGCTGGTATTTACTGATGGGATGGAGATTTAGTTCTACAGCCAACTTGCTCTAGCACGGGGAGCAACAGACACGTTTTAGACCTTTCTGTTTACAATAGATAAGTGGCTGACTAGAATGCAGTGGTGGATCCTGTGGGTGGGCAATGGGGCAATTGCCCCCCACCCCTGAGAAAATAACAATGCACAGGGGAGTTCAGAGATCTTCCTCATCAGCCCACTGGCACTGAAATGCGACAGCCAGCATGGTAGGGACAGCAGAATCGGGGGAAGCTCTGACCTGACCGGGTATTTCTCTCTCGAGAGTGAACTCTAGCCTCAGGAGTTCAATCCCACCACTAGGACCACCAGGGCTTCTCCACCGGATCACCAGGGTTTGCCTTGTACTGTCCCCCCTTCCAGGCAAAGGTAAAATTGGAGGGGGGATATAAGAATTATTTATTTAAATTTTTTTTAAAGTATATATTACCCCTCACACACACTTCCCCCCATTCACACACATACTGACCCTCAATACACACACACAGCCCCAATGCACACATACTGCACCCTTCACACACACAGACTGGCCCCATACACACATACTGACCCTCAATACACACACACAGCCCCAATACACACATACTGCACCCCTCACACACACACACTGGCCCCATACAAAACCATACTGACCCTCAATACACATACACAGCCCCAATACACACATGACACCCCTCACACACACACACACACACTGCCCCCCAATGCACACACTGCCATCAATGCACAAACACTGCTCCCCTCATACACACAATGCACCCCCATACACACGGCACCCCTCACACATACACACACACACTGCCGCACTACGCAAGCACACACACACACTGCCCCCATACACGCACACTGCCCCCATACACACACTCTGCCCGCGTACACATACTCTGCCCGCGTACACACACTCTGCATCCAACACATATACACTGATCCCCCCACACACACACTCATCACACATACCGCCCCCTCACACACAGTGCCTTTCATACACACTCATGCCCCCTCACACACACACATTGCACCCCTCACACACACATGCTGCACGTCTTACACACATACACTGCACTCCTCACACACACTGCACCTGACACACACTGCACTCTTCACACACTGCACCCCTCACACACACACACTGCACCCCTCACAAACTTACATTGCGACCCTCACACACACACACTACTGCCCCTATGCCCTACTACTGCTCTTTTTCCTACTACAGCATCTATCCCAGCAGACCCCAGGTAAGTTGCCATTCTTAAATGTTTTGACTATTTAATCTGTGGGGGGGCACCATTTCACGCTTGGCACCACAACCACTACATAGACCTTAAATAATCTACCAGTGCCCCTCCTGAGATCTGGATCCGTCCCTGCTAGAATGGTCTTGTTAGGCTACTAAATAGATAATGATGTATTTTTCAGTTCTTATATAGCTCCTAAGCGATTTAGTACTTTAGAGGGACTCAGGGTAGGTTTATTTATGAAGATTCCCAATTATGCAAATCACATTGTAACCGTCCAATGTTAACCAAAACAACAAAGATCTATTTGTCAGCATTCAATATTCCAACAAGTAATTCATTGTTTAGAACATTTTTGTAAGAACAGCACAAATTGCTAATACTCTCCCTGGAGGGCTATAAATAATGTTATTGACAGGAGCCGTGATTGCTGGTCTTCGCAGGTTCAGTGCTTGCTGATTTTAAGGTTTACAGTAGAATTGTAATAAATTATTCCAATTGCAATCAGGACCGCCATTACAATTCTCCAGGCCCCTTAAACTACAATGACCTAGGCCCCCTAAAACACTCACACACTCCTAAACCCACCACATACTCACAGGCACACACATGAATACACACAAATAATAATACACACAAACACACACATAAACATACTGATACATACTGCCAGAAACACACACACAAAGATAATGACTGCCAGACACAAAGTCTCAGGTACGCACAGGGGCGTATTAGCCGCGAGGCTAACAAGGCATTTGCCTTGGGCGGCATTTTTCAGGGGGCGGCAAAAAACGCCGCCCCCAAATGCCCA